CATATCCTTTATATATGATGCCTAATACAATCCATTTTCCAATATGTTAAACTAAATGTACATATATCTTATTTTTTACAAACAAAAAGGAAATAATTCCTATACTAAGATTTTTGGTCTACTCTATGAAAGAAACTACATTGTGTGTCATGAAAATTAGAATGCAGAGCAGAAACCCCACATGGACAGCCTGTGGAAGACCAAGCGTGCAACATCTTCTGTTCTCTTGCTCTGTTATTATAAATTTTATTAAGTAACTATACAAATAAGTGGAAAGACTGATCATACTAATATGTGTCTCTTCGGAAATCATTTTCAAGTAAAAATATATATATACCAAATATAGGAAAGAAAGAAGTTTAGGATAATAAGAAGAATTCACAAACAACAAAACAAAGGCAACATGAAAGCAGAAACCTTTTCCTTGCAAAAGTGTATAGAAAAACACACTCTAACCAAACTTTCCCTTCTTTTCTTTTTCTTATCATCTTTCCTCTTTTCTTCAGAAGAGCAACAGCCGCAGAAGCATATCATGATCATGATGATGAAGTTCTATACGTTCACTTTCTTAATCTGCTTGTTCTCGAAGCTCCAAGGCCACTGCAAATCAGATATTAGCCTTGGTAATTCCCTGACGCTCACTTCTCCTCTAGAATACACTCCCGGGTTTATGGGGAAAGCTTATATTATGGAGACAGAATCATCTTCAACAAGAGAACCCGGTTTCAAAGCCGCGTTAACAATGGAATCAAGTGACAAAGATGATGGACGATATTTGTGTTCCCTTCAAATTTTTCTTGGAGATGTAAGAGTATGGAGCTCAGGGCATTACTCGAAGATGTACGTTTCTAGCAAATGCATCATCGAGCTCACAAAAGATGGAGACTTGAGGCTCAAGAGTAGCAATAAACACGTTGGATGGAGAAGTGGAACCTCAGGACAAGACGTGGAGGTATAAAATTTGATTGGTTTTGAAGAAAAACATAATTTCTAATGACAGAAACATGTAAAAGAATTGTTGTTTAATTTGAAAACAAAAATTTGCAGAGGTTGGAGATACAAAGCACAGGGAATCTAGTGTTGGTTGATGCTAAGAATTTGATCAAATGGCAAAGTTTCAATTTCCCAACAGATGTGATGTTGAGTGGTCAGAAACTAGACGTGGCTACGCAACTAACTTCATTCCCAAATGACTCGACTTTGTTCTATTCATTTGAAGTTTTACGCGACAAGATTGCTCTGTTCCTAAATTTGAACAAGCTCAAGTACTCCTACTGGGAATACAAGCCTATAGAGAAGAACACAACGGTCAACTTCGTGAGGTTAGGGTTAAAGGGTCTTGACCTATTCGACGATAACAGCCACAGAATCGGAAGAATCGAGCAACCGTTGATCAGATTCTTGGCGCTTGGGAACAGAACCGGTAATTTAGGACTCTATTCGTATAAACCGGAAAAGGGAAAGTTCGAGGCAACGTTTCAAGCTGTGAGCGACACTTGTGATCTTCCTGTAGCGTGTAAACCATATGGAATCTGCACATTCTCAAAGTCTTGTTCTTGCATTAAGGTTGTGAGCAATGGAGATTGTAGTAGCATCAACGTGGAAGAAGCGGTTTCGGTGAAGAGGTTATGCGACCACGAGATGGTTGAGCTAAACGGAGTTACTACAGTGCTAAGAAACGGGACACAAGTAAGAAACATAAGCAAAGAAAGATGTGAAGAGTTGTGTAAGAAAGATTGTGAGTGTGGAGCTGCGAGTTACTCTGTTTCTGGTGAGAGTTGTGTCATGTATGGGATTGTGATGGGTGTTAAACAGATTGAGAGAGTTAGTGGATTAAGTTATATGGTGAAGATTCCTAAAGGAGTGAGATTAAGTGATGAGAAACCTAATGTGAGGAAATGGGTTGTGGGATTAGTTGGAGGGATTGATGGTTTTGTGATTTTGTTGCTTCTTTCTGGATTTGCTTTTTATTTCATTAGAAAGCGACGGAAAAGCTTGTCACTGCCTCCACCACCACCGCTACCGCAGCAGCCGGCCAATACAGATTCTTGATAGTTCTGTTTTTGGAAATTTCAGATTAATTTGTGTCCTACATGTAAACATTGATACCGTTTTTATAGTGAAAACAGTTGCGACTTCGAAAATTGTAAAGCCTAAGAAAAATGTATTGATATGACTTAGTGTATGAGGTATTTATTCAATTGTAAAAAAATTGGGATCTTTGAAGGTTTTCATGTTCTAGGATATGGAAAGCATTTTTGCATTGGTGAATAAACAGTCCATCAAAGTAACTAATTTTTACTATGATTTTTTAGAGTTTTATGATTTTTCTAGTAACATTTGTTTAGCTAAAATATTTTTGCTAGTGAATCATATTCACTATTCATCTAACATATAAGTCAAAACTCAATTATTTCATCTAAAAAGGAAGAAGAAAACAGTGTTTTCCACATTCCTACTGGTAGGTTAGGTATGGATATATAAAATTTAGGGATCATGAATATTGAATACGGAGTAATTATTTTTCTTCATTGTCGAATTGTACGCACTAGTCGCAACGCAGACCAAGGCATGAACGCCATTTTTTTTTTTACTTTTAACGTCCAACGGTTAGCTGAAAGAGTGCTACAATTTAAAAACTGAGACTTTTTTTATTATGTGGCCCTGCTTTATGACCGTTAGTGATCCCCACCGCAAACTCCATCATTGACGCAGCCAACTCCGGCACAACTCCCTCTATCATCCAACGGTCCAAATACTCTTTCACTTTTTCTTTTTTGCCCTTTCTCTTTTGTCCACCTAAAGTTATAATTCTAATCACATATTGATATTAGGATTAAGAGACTTATAAAAGAAAAATCTAGGGTAGAATTTTACCAATCTTGATTCTTGACAGAAAAGGTTGATAATATTTAACAATTAATTGGTGCACAAAAAAAAAAATCATTTAACTGTGAAATCTTTATAATAAGTTAGAAAGACAATTCAGAAAACAACTGTAATATTACTAAGTTCACACCTTTTTTTTTATCAAATCCAACGGTCCAAAGATTCTTTCACAAATACTTTCAAATTACTTTAATCAATTAATCTCACGGTCCAAAGATTTATGTACTATAACTATATCCTCAGACAAAAAAAAAATGGATTAGAAAAAGTGTGTAAACTTTAAATAAAGACAAAACTAGTAACTGAGAAGAAAACGGATACTTGTAGCTTTTTATTCAACTTTAATTATCCCCTTCATTACAAAAAGACCGTTGCGATATATATAAAGTCTTCGTTCACACAGTATCGAAGAAAACAACAACTTTGATCACTCTCTCTCTTTACTTCTTCTTCCCAAGCTTTTGATGGCCGAGACCCTAGAACCCTCCCTCGTCGGAGAAATCGACACTTCTGCGCCATTCGAGTCGGTGAGAGAAGCCGCCACTCGCTTTGGCGGCTTTGGTTTCTGGAAACCTTCTTCCCTTAACATCTCCGAAGCTTCTCAGGTCTTATTTCTCTCCTTCTCCCTCAAAGTCTCTGTCTTTCTCACTGATTTTGTCCAGCTCTTTGCTTTTAGGGTTTTTAATTGAATTGGGTTATTAGATTCATCAATTTTTAGAAAGTTCTTGTCTTTAGTTGTTTCTTGTGATGCGAAAGTTGGAATATTTTTTGGTTGCAGAACGAAGTGGATGATGTAGCTGGTATGGTGGCGAAAGCGAGTGAGTTAGAGAAGGAACTGAATGCTAAAGAAGGAGAAACTTTAAAGGTTTTGAAGTCACTCGAGTCCACTAAAGCGATCGTTGAAGAGCTTAAATCAAAGCTACAGAACAAGGAAGAGAAAGAAAACTATGACATGAATGTTTTCAAGGAATTGAATCAAGCGAAGATGAATCTGTGCAAGACAACTAAAGATTTGGCAGCTATTCGTGAGTCTGTTGAGTTACTGAACAAGAGATTGGAAGAGGAAAGAGCTGCACTTGAGAAGACACGAGAGAGACTTAACTCTGAGAATGCAGCTGAAATCTCCAAGGAGATTCAGAGACTAAGTTATGAAGCCAAGGAGTTTAGTAGAACAGGAGAGAATGCTCGTTATGCGGTTGATAAAGCTGTGGTTGAGATTGAACAAACGAGAAACAAGATTGAAGCTGCTGAGATGCGTTTGATCGCTGCTAGAAAGATGAAGGAAGCTGCTAGAGCGGCTGAAGCAGTTGCAATCGCTGAAATCAAGGCGGTTACTAGAAGAGGAAGAAGAAGAAGAAGAAGAGGAAGTGATGAGGAGACGCTGCTGCATGAGGAGATTCTTGAGACGATTCAAGAAACAGCTAGAGAAATCAGAAGTAGTAGGAGGACACTTGAGGAAGGTTTGGAGAAAGTGAATATCACGAAAATGGAAGCAGAAGAAGGAAAATGGCGATGGACAGAACAGAGGAGGAGATCATCATGTTCGTCCAAGTTCAAGAACCCTTTTATGATGGATGTAAATGGTCTGAATATGATGATGAATGGTGATGGAACATCGTCCTCAGTTGCTGTCTTGAAACCAACAATGTCGATTGGGCAGATACTTAGTAGGAAACTACTTCTTGCAGATGAGTCAGCGATGATGATGAACGGGAGAGTTTCGTTGGGTCAGATTCTTGGGAAGACTAACTTTGGAGATAGAAATGGTGAAGGGAAGGAGAAGGAAAAAAGGTTGAATGGGAAGAGGAAGCGGTTTGGATTCGCAAACTTGTCTGTGATGTTGAATAAAGAGAGTAAGAAGAAGAATAAGAAGAAGAAGATAGCTTTGAACTTAATGTGATGAGTGAGTGAGTGATTGGAGTGGTCTTATCTTTATCTATTTTTCTTAGGAGTTGTTAGGTGTTTTCCTGCAGTTGTAAGCAATTGTGTTTCTATTTGTTTTCAAATTTAAGTGTAGCATAAACACCGCATTGTCGATAAAACCAAAGTCTTAATTATGCTGTTTTGAAGAAAAAGAAAAAACAAACCATAATTAGGGAACGTTATAAATAGTCTGAAACAAGACCTGTAGACTAAAACAACTTCTTCAAGACAACATTTTGGGCTTCTACGTGGGGTTTCTCACCTTCTTCTGTGATAAGAACTTGGGTCAAACCAGTTGCGGCCTTAACTTTGGATATGGCAAGATACCTTTGTCCAGGAGGTGACAGTACTTGTTTTGGTAGATATAGACCAACTTTGGAAAATGTTTGGCCTCGACTCTGATCTATAGTCATGGCGAATGCAAGTGTGAAAGGATACTGGGTACGCCGCATTGGGGTAAAAAAATCTTTCTCAGAGAACATGTGCATCTTTTCGATCAGGAGTTCCTGGGGACGAGGACTACGTTGTGATGTTGCAACTCTAGCCACAAGCATAGAATCACCCAACTGAATAATTTGAAGTCTAGTCCCAGTACATAACCCACGGCTAGCATCAACATCAGCAATTAACATGATGGGAGCACCAACCTTGAGTCTCAAAATCTGGTTAGGCACTCCGGGGACTGTGACGCTACTAAACATACTTGAAATTATTAACATGTAATCGACTGGGCTTGGGGTATCCTCATCCACCGGAACAAGACAGTCATCGCAGTGAGATAATATCTCTTTACCTTTATGTGATGATATGAAACCAAGTCGTAGTTAGTATGTGCAGAAAATGGTGGCGTGGAAAGCGAAGGGTATATATAAAAACCGGATTTTACCTGGTAATTGTGAAAGCATATAGGCATTAATCTGATCCACGTCAGATTGAGTATGACACAAAATAACTGTGTCGCGGCAATAGGAGGACTGTTTAGGAAAAGAGTCTCCATAAACTTGGCTCACTATTTCTTCGATAGGATCATGGCACTCAATTGGCGACGCATTTTCAGGGATATCAATATCAGCGTGATCATCTCCATCATTGATCTTTTCATCATTAATATCCTTAATCCATTCAGAGAAAGCTTTATCTTTTGTTGTGTGAATTCTTGATTCCTATAATTCAATAAACAAAACAAAGAAAAAAAAATAATATGAATTTTCTAGTCAACAAACTTGTTCGGCTGTCTAGAATTAAAAGAAAACAGCGTGAATATTGCATCATAGTCAGATATCAAATGCCAGATGACTTATTGTAATCAAACAAACCTTGTGTCAAATTACGTATCAAAAGTGCAAATCAGTCTGCTATATATAAATTACGAAAGACACGTTACAAGTACTCCGTAACCAAAAAAAATAATAATAAAAAAATGATAAAGCGTATATAAATAGTTGTGATCAAACCATACCGATGATTCGAGTAAAACCATATCGATCGAGTTTGCGGCTCTTTTACTCAATCCCTCCTTCCATATCCTCATGAGCTGCACTTTGATCTTCCATGGCTTAGTCTCATCGAGAGGAGCAACAGAAGAGGAGGGTTCGTTTATTAAGGCCATTGCAGATCTTGACAGTCGAACAACAGAGATAAGAGAGAGGTAGAGGCTATATAGTTGGCGACAAAACAAAGCTAAAATAAAAGTTAAATATGTGACTGCAGAATAGGGACGCTCCCTTGACAAGTTTGTTTTTATAGCTAGGGCTGAGAGTTTGGACTAGGCTTGGGCACATAATCCAAATCCTCAAATTCGATCCGAACCGGTTTCGGTTTTTTTAGTAAAACTCGATCGAATTTCATGTAGAATGTGATTCGGGTTTCAGTTCGGATCGGATTATAACCGAAATTGGTTATAATCCGATCCGATATGCGCTAAACCGAAACAATACATACATATTATTAGTTTTATGTTCAATTCGGATCGGATATTTCAGATATTTTGAGTTTGATCGGATAAATTATGGGTAATTCGGATATTTTGGATGATTTGGATCGGGTTATTCGAATATTTCGGATTTAATCGGATAATTCGGATCCAAATCCGGACCGAAACCGAATTTATTTAAGTTTCGGTTACACTTCCGATTTTCAAAAAAAAAAATTGTAAACCGATCCGAATGTTGGAAAGACTAACTTTGGCGATAGAAATAGTGAAGGGAAGTAGAAGGAAAAAAGGTTCTATGGGAAGAGAAAGCGGTTCGGATTTGCAAACTTGTCTGTGATGTTGAATAAAGAGAGTAAGAAGAAGAAGATAGATTTGAACTTAATGTGATGAGTGAGTGATTAAAATGGTCTAATCTTTGTCTTATGGTAATCAATTGTGTTTCTATTTGTTTTCGATGTTTATTGGTTATGCTAAAAAATGAGATGTGATTTGTGTTCTACAAGATTTGTCATATTCTTTAGGGAGATTTACTCAGATGTTATACATTTTATATGAAATTACCAGAAACATACAGATCTTTTTTTTATTACTATCATATTTCGGGTATATTTTTTATACCCAGCGTGCCCCTGTTAAACGTTACAGGAAAAAACGTAATTACAAAGAATGTCACTGCCACGTCAGCAAAGCCGCGTCGCCACGTCAGAAATCGCTGACGTGTATTAATGAACTCAGCCGTCGAGCGATATAGCGGCAGTGACGGCTGAGTTACGGTATGTTGCGGCTGATTTAAGAAAAATGGCTGAGTTATGAGCAAACGGCTGACTTACGAGTATAACCCAGCCTGGAGTTACGGCTGACTTACTGAAATCTGTCTGAGTTATGATAAAATGGCTGACTTTCGAGCATAACCCAGCCTAAGTTACGGCTGAGTTTTCACCCGATGGTTGATTTGTCAAATTTTTGGCTGAGTTTTTGCTTCGACACGGCTGACTTAACTTTCTCCGGCTGGCTGAGTTATCAAAGACGGCTTAGTTATGGGATGACGTTACGGCTGATTTATGTTCGAGTATCATAAATCAGCCGTAATGAGCTGGATTAACGGAAAACTCGGCCTTATTATGGCTGACTTAGTAGCGAAAGATTAATTACTAGAATAGCATGCAATGACGGCCGACTTATTAAACAACACGACTGAGTTAAATATTTTTGGTTGAGTTACGACAGTAAACGGCTGAATTTGGCTGCCGTTTTTTTCGTTTTTTAATTACTGTAATAGTATTCATGTTGCGGCTGAGTTAAAGTTTTGTTTGATGGCTGGTTTAATTAAGCTGATTTACATTTTCGTTTGGTGGCTTACTTGCCACTTCATCAATTAAAAAATGACGTGGATGCAACATTCCATGTCATCATTCCATGTCATCATCATCAAAGGACAAAAAAATAGGGCCAAATTTTTTCAACTCGTCTTCTTCACCTGAGTTTATCACATCACCGGAACTTCCAATTCCTCATCGTCTTCCTCATTCTTCTTCAATTTCTTGCATCCTTCTCCCGATATGGTTGATCCGGTTCCGGTAATTGGGTATAAAAACACAAATACGTATTTAACACCGATGAAAGAGGGTGTAGAGTTGTGCAGATAGATGCGAAAACAACGCACGAAAAACTTGTGAAGTTGGTGCTCGATGATAAAGTTAGAGGAAATGTTGCGTCTCTTATTGTTTCGCTGCAAATTTACATGTCACGGCTGAGTTATATGCTTAAGGGAAGACGAAAGGTTCGGTCAATTTACATGTCACGGCTGAGTTATATGTTCCAGGGAAGACGAAAGGTTCGGTAAAATTACATTACGGCTGAGTTATATGCTTAAGGAAAGACGAAAAGTTCGGTCAATTTACATGTCACAGCTGAGTTATATGTTCCAGGGAAGACGAAAGGTTCGGTAAAATTACATTACGGCTGAGTTATATGTTTAAGGGAAGACGAAAGGTTCGGTAAATTTACATGTCACGGCTGAGTTATATTCTCTAGGGAAGACGATAGATGGGTGTAAATTATATGTTACGGGTGAGTTATATGCTTCAGGGAAGACGAAAGGTTCGGTAAATTACATGTCACGGCTGAGTTATCATTTAGGGAAGACGAAAGGTTGTGTAAATTATATGTTACGGCTGAGTTACATCACGTTACGGCTAAGTTACATCACTTTACAGCTGATTTATAATACAGATCGGAAAGCAACATTTTTTTGGAGAAGACAATATGAAATTTATTGGTCAAATAACAACAATCAAATTAAGATTCGTAAAAATATGTTTGAGGGATACATAGGAGGAAGACTAAACCGTATGAATCAAAACATAGATAGAAGTAGAAATGTCTCCAAATAGATCGATTGAGAGGAAGATTAAACGAGAGACATGTAAAATCAAAGTAAAAGAGTAGCTATTCTTGATTTCAACTCAAACCTGTAACGAATCATGTAGAATTCCATAGATCTCTTTGTTTTGGGTTTTGATTTTTGATGACTTTTTTCGTGAGCGTGGTTGCGAGTAGATCTGACGAAGCTTTTGATTTGGGACCCTATGGCAAGCGTTGTGGCTGTGAGGTCTAGGAAGATCCAGCCCAATCCTGCAATTTGAAGATCTCTGTCAATGTTGTACCCAAGTTAGTTGCAGATTATTAGATCTAAAAGCTTTTCTTGGATTTGGAGACAAAAAAAAAGAGAAGAGGAGAAATGATCTAAAAGCTTTTCTTGGATTTGGAGACAAAAAAGAGAAGAGGAGAAATAACGTGAGTTTGAGGTGTGTGAGATTGGTGATGTGGATTAATGACATGGATAATCAAATTTTTATTTATTATTTTTAATTAAAAACGAATTAAAAATTATTAATTAAAAAAAACTAATGAAGGGTGTTAATTGTAATTACACAAATGCTCAAAACATATGAGTAATTTTTAGAAAATGTATGATATTTTAGTAATATTCGAACTTTTGGTTAACATCTGAGTAAATATTTCTATTCTTTATGCTAATTCCAAAGTCCAAACTAATTGCATATTCGAAGATAATAGCCACATGCCGGTGAGATGACGTGGAAGATAATAGCTTGTAGTGTGAAAATACCTCATTGACCTTTCGACAATCCACGCAATCGACTAATTCCACGGATCTGCTTACGCATTGATTCTTGTTTTGATAACCCTCTTCTTCTTCTCCTACACATACCAGATTCTACCAATCATTTGCTCAAAAAGGTAAAATCTTTCTCTACAATTTCGATTGAATCTTTTTTATTTCGTTAAATCTCTCGTAAAGAGTTTTACTTGAATCTTCTTTCTGATCTTTTGTTCTTTATCAGGAATCATGGGTCTTAAAGCTGGAACCTTTGTGCTTCTCTTGTTGGGTTTGATCTTGGTTTCTGACGCTAGATCTTTCGTTGACTCCACCCTCTCAGGTAAGAAATTAGACAAAATTTCGTACTCATGCTTGATTCGATAGAAGCTTGGTCTTTAGGGTTAAAGTTTGATACTTTTAATGAAATAGTTTGTTTTTATGGCTGGAGATGATGAGGTAGTTGTATTTTTCAACACCCAAGTTCTCCTAAAGCTAAAAGAATGGCTCAGACTGAGATAGTCTTATTTTGAGTAGAAGTTTTAAGACTTTTCAACTTTTCTTTTGTCTCTGTGTAGAAAAAGTTTCCAACAAGGAAGACGTTTGCACTCTGTGTGAGGAATATGTTACTGATGCTCTCAGCTACCTTGAGAAAAATGTCACACAAGCGGAGATTATTGAGGATCTTCATGATCGGTGTTCCCAATTGCGCGGATTTTCGCAGCAGGTTCTCTCATTTTGCTGATGCTGAACCTTACACTTGGACTGTTTGTTTTGTTAATATATCAAAGGTGTTGAATAAATAGTATGTTTTTGATTTGATGCAGTGCATAACTTTGGTTGATTACTATGTTCCTCTCTTCTTCTTACAACTGGAGTCGTTTCAACCTCACTATTTCTGCAAGAGGATGAATCTTTGTGGCAAAGTTGTAGCTCTTGTGGAAGAAGTCCGTCAGGACAGCTGCGGTGTATGCCACAGGACTGTTTCAGAGATTCTCATCAAACTACAAGATCCCGACACTCAGGTTAGTAGTAACTACAAGATGATGACTTTATGTCTTCTATCACAGGTTTTATTTTGTTATTTACGCATTCTGTGTCATAGACTAGCACTCTGATTAAGTCATAACGTAAGAGTACCCACTATGACAGTACAAGCTGCTATGCCCTCGTCTAGTCGTGTTTGCGTTCTAAGATCAGTCTAACTGAAACTAGAGTTTAAATATCAGGGCAATCCTCGTGAAGACTTTTCTTTCTTTTGTTATACTGATGATGAGTTTTTTATATTGACTTTGTGTTCTCGTGATTATCTAGCTGGATATCGTTGAACTGCTTCTCAAGGGATGTAAATCGCTCAAGAACTACGAGAAGAAGGTTAGAATGATCAACTCAAATCCATAACATCGCCTTTTACGTGTTTAAAAATTAACCAATTCATTTTACTTTTTCTGTTGATTTTCTTCTTGAACTTGTGCAACACAACTGCATGATCACATAGTGTAGTTGGCTTAGGATTTTCTGATTTTACGGTGTTGTGTCTTGTGTTATTACAGTGCAAGACGTTGGTGTTCGAATATGGACCTCTGATCCTCGTAAATGCAGAGGAATTCCTAGTGAAAAACGACGTCTGCACACTCTTACGCGCATGTCCGGCTGAGAAATCGGTTTCAAGGCAGCCGGAGTTGGCGGATTCTTGAATGTTAAAAACGTTGCCATAGCAAGACTTAATTCCTTATAAGTAGGAACACGAGCTGCTCCATAAGAATGGTTGCAGACTTTGTGTAGTGTCTATATGTATGGATTCAAACACACCCTCCAAAATGTCTCTTTGCGTTTGTGTAAATAATGATCGCTACAACGATTGTACCTCTACCATGATATCACTGTATTCTATTTCAGGTTTGTTACATTTTATAAGAATGAGATTTTTTTTTTATGTTTCTTCTATCTCACCGCTGGTGTTTGACTGTTTTCAATTCGTTTTTGGTAAAAAAACCTTTGGTAAGTTTGTGCTGTGTTGGAATTAACGACTCTTCATTTTAGCCTTCTAGAGGATTTTGTCTACACAAATTTATGTGTTTCAAGAATAAAACCATGTCTGTTTTTTTGGCAGTTGCTGATGGCCGCCAAAATTTAGCGATTAAAATCTAAAATCGGAAACGCTCAAATTATTAACGTTTAAAATTTAATTACTTACGCAAAATCAAAAAGGATTTTTACATAGATAGATACACCAAATTACATAATATTATTTAATTCTAATTTAAATTAAAGAAATTTTAGTGTAGTTGCCACATATGTTTGTCTGAAGGATTTCTCAAAAGTTTTTACATATATTATCACGAATATCTCTAGTGTGCCACACGATTGGTACTAGGACTGACGTGGCCAAAAGTGTCTAAGATTTGACCAAGTCATATAAGATTAGTGAATTCCATTGGAATAAATTAATTTGATGCCCCAACGACTCTCGAGACATATTTAGTAATAATGAATGATTAAAAACGGTCGAAATAACCTTTATAGCCGTTGGTCTTGGTCATGTTTCTCTCGCTTACCGTTTTTTTGGCGCAGGACCAACAAGTAAAAACTAGCCGTTACTCTTACAAAAAACATAAACTAAACTCTTTGTCTTTGTCTTCTTCCTCGGCACTCCAACCATAATTAGTCTTTTGCTACAACACTCACTCACTCACTTGTTCATTTCCTCTCTCACTAAAAATCAATCTTCTCTCTCTCTATCTCCAAAAAACAGAGGAAGGAGAACAAACCAAGAACTCAAGCTCCCTGCTCTTCTCATCTTTCTTCTTCGTTTTCTATTTTTTTTTTTCTTATTTACTTTTTGATTCTTTTGAAATGAATCATCTTTACAAAAACCCATTTCGGATTTATGAAATTAGTTTCCATTTCTGCACGAGTCTCCTCTTGTGTTTCTTACTCTTCTCTGCTCAAGCTGTTGCAGGTGGTGGTGGTCACTCTTGGGATGGAATCGTGGTGACTCAAGCGAACTATCAGGCGCTCCAAGCAATCAAGCACGAACTCATTGACTTCACCGGAGTTCTCAGAAGCTGGAACAACTCTGCCTCCTCTGAAGTTTGCTCCGGCTGGGCTGGAATCAAATGCCTCCGAGGTCAAGTGGTTGCCATTCAGCTCCCTTGGAAGGGACTTGGTGGCACTATCTCCGAAAAGATTGGACAGCTTGGGAGCCTCAGAAAACTTAGCCTCCACAATAATGTTATCGCCGGTTCGGTTCCTCGTTCCCTAGGCTACCTCAAGAGCTTGCGTGGAGTCTATCTCTTCAACAATCGCCTCTCCGGTTCCATCCCAGCCTCACTGGGTAACTGCCCTCTTCTCCAGAATCTTGATCTTAGCAGTAACCAGCTAATTGGAGTCATCCCAGCTAGTCTTGCTGAAGCCACGAGGCTCTATAGGCTCAATCTCAGCTTCAATTCACTATCCGGTCCCCTTCCGGTTAGTGTAGCCAGATCATATACCCTCACTTTTCTCGATCTTCAGCATAACAACCTCTCTGGTTCGATACCCGACTTTTTGGTTAATGGCTCCCACCCTCTCAAAACGTTGAATCTTGACCATAATCTCTTCTCTGGAGCTGTTCCTTTGTCTCTCTGCAAGCATGGTCTGTTGGAAGAGGTTTCTTTAAGCCATAACCAGCTCTCAGGTTCTATTCCCAGAGAATGTGGAGCTCTTCCACACCTCCAGAGCCTTGATTTTTCTTACAATTCAATCAACGGAACCATCCCAGACAGTTTCTCCAACCTTTCATCTCTGGTTTCACTAAACCTCGAAAGCAACCACCTCAAAGGCCCAATCCCAGATGCCATTGATAGACTGCACAACCTGACAGAGCTTAACCTCAAGAGAAACAAGATCAATGGGCCAATCCCAGAGACAATAGGGAACATATCTGGAATCAAACAGCTTGATCTGTCAGAAAACAACTTCACAGGTCCAATCCCGCTGTCATTAGTCCACCTGGCGAACCTTTCTTCATTCAACGTCTCCTACAACACCCTCTCTGGCCCCGTTCCACCTATTCTCTCCAAGAAGTTCAACTCAAGCTCTTTCGTGGGGAACATTCAGCTCTGTGGCTACAGCTCCTCAAAACCATGCCCTTCTCCAAAACCTCATCATCCTCTCACCCTTTCACCGACTTCATCACAAGAACCAAGAAAACACCACAGAAAACTCTCTTTGAAAGACATAATCCTAATCGCCATCGGAGCTCTTCTAGCCATCCTCCTTCTATTATGCTGCATACTACTCTGCTGTCTGATCAAGAAACGAGCCGCCTTGAAACAAAAAGATGGAAAGGACAAGATCTCAGAGAAGACAGTCTCTGCAGCTGCTGCAGGAACAGCATCAGGAGGAGGTGAAATGGGAGGAAAGCTTGTCCATTTCGATGGTCCGTTTGTATTCACCGCAGATGATCTCCTCTGTGCCACAGCTGAGATCATGGGGAAAAGTACATACGGCACAGCATACAAAGCCACATTGGAGGACGGAAATGAAGTCGCTGTGAAGCGGCTGAGAGAGAAAACAACCAAAGGAGTCAAAGAGTTCGAAGGAGAAGTCACAGCTTTAGGCAAGATTCGTCACCAGAATCTTCTTGCACTAAGAGCTTACTACTTAGGACCTAAAGGAGAGAAGCTACTCGTCTTTGATTACATGTCTAAAGGAAGTCTCTCTGCGTTTCTTCACGGTAAGCAAAAACCCAAACTTTGGATTTGATAAAGTTGACATTTTTATTGATCTGATTAATTGAATTTAACAGCTCGAGGACCAGAAACCCTAATTCCATGGGAAACAAGAATGAAGATAGCAAAAGGAATCAGTCGTGGTTTAGCTCACCTTCACAGCAACGAGAACATGATCCATGAGAATCTCACAGCAAGCAACATTCTCCTCGACGAACAAACCAACGCACACATCGCCGATTACGGTCTCTCAAGACTCATGACCGCCGCCGCCGCCACAAACGTAATCGCAACCGCCGGAACATTAGGATACAGAGCACCGGAGTTTTCAAAAATCAAGAACGCAAGCACTAAGACCGATGTCTACAGCTTAGGGATCATCATATTGGAGCTTTTGACTGGCAAATCTCCAGGAGAGCCGACGAATGGGATGGATTTGCCTCAATGGGTAGCTTCGATTGTGAAAGAAGAGTGGACTAATGAAGTTTTTGATTTGGAGCTCATGAGAGAGACACAAAGCGTTGGTGATGAGCTTTTGAATACTCTGAAATTGGCTTTACATTGTGTTGATCCGTCTCCGGCGGCGAGGCCAGAAGCTAATCAGGTGGTGAATCAGTTGGAGGAGATTAGGCCGGAGACTGAAGCGGAGATGGAGACGACGCTGATTGGATCTGGTGGTGAAGGAGGTAAAGATTTAGGATCAAACGAGGATTAAAGGAAAGTTTTGGGGGTTTTTATGGAAGAAGAATAAAAAAGAAGGGACCTATATACAAATACCACATTTTTATTTTCATTTTTATTCATTCTTTGATTCAAGTAATTTGTAGATAAAAATGGTTTGAAGCTTGTGCTAGTACTGTAATGTAATTTGATTATTCATTCTTTTTGGTTGAAGAAGTAATATAATAATTGATTTTGGTTGAAGAAGTAATATAATAATTGATTTTGGAATTTACTTATTTTCTGTGATGTGTAATTTTGATTATTTTTTTTGGTTAAAAGAAGAGAAGAAATTTTTACCAAACTTCAAAACGACATTCATGAGAACACCACCATTTTTGAGAGAGTGGTGGTAAAAAAAAATGATGGAACAAATATAACAGTAAATAGTTTGTGAGTCGGGGATGCTCAAGATTATATATGGAACAAATATAACAACACCCACGACTTGTTGGTTTTAAAATATGATGAAAGGAAAAAAAGAAATATAACTAAGAGATCTCTAAAACGGCTTTTTAGATATAAATAAAACAGAAAACAAAAATATCTTTTACAAAAGTCTCTTCTAAACCATTTCACCTTTGTCTCTCTCATAACATCAATAGTTCGCTCACTCATAAATAATCGATATATAAATTTATGGGTTGACACAACATATCCATCGAAAAAGTTGACGCTTAGTCTTGGTTTCAGTCAGGATCTCAGCTTCAGGTTCGATTTCAGGTCTAATTTGTGTCTCAGTTTCAGGTTCAGTTTGAATCTCGGCTTCCGGTACAATCTCGATCTCTACCTCAGCCTCAACCATGTTGGGTTCGTGGTCATCTTGCGAAGTACGAAAATAAACATCAAACATCTTCCACAACTTTAAAAGATCGGCGGGTCTCGGCTCAACAAGCACTAATTTGTTGAAAATTTCTATTAGGAAGTCACTTTTTCCTGGAATATATATTAAGCAAATACGTTATTAAATCCCATATATATTAAGTGTTGGAAAATATTAAAAGAACTTTTTTTGTTCATTGATGCGATAACTATCGGATAATATTAAAGTATAGAATGTCTCATATCGAAAGTTGAGATATTTTATGAGTAATATGTAAGTATATTACAATTTTCCACTCTTAAATTTATTTTTTAGTATGAGTTACTGAGCATGTCTAATATTTTGATTATGAGGTCATTCCTACAAATTTCGTGTTTCAAATGTTTAATCTTAAACATTTGGGGGAGGGGGAGAAAATGTATTAGAGTATAAAATTATCCCACATCGGAAGTTGGGAGATTTCGTAAGCAAGATAAAAGTTTGTGCCAATCTTCTACTCTTGAGAAGAAACTGACGTATTTCTAAGCCCATACTTACTAATGGAAAAGAAACTGATGTATTTCTACTTTTAAAATTATTTTATTTTTATAAAGTCTATATTGATAATTAATATACAATTTTCATAATTTTATATTTTGACAATAGGATTCCTATTTTTTTTTCTTTCCAAAATTCAAAATACTCATCAAACCTTCACATATTTGGTAATATTATTTCTTTCGGAGATTTTTACTTTGTCCGTTGGCTTAAGTTTCTTTTTTTTGGACGTTGTATTTTACTATGTTCCACAACAAATATTAATTAAATTTCAGATGATAAAATAAAAAAATTCACATATTTGGGAAGTTATTATGTTATATACTACATTACAAGATTTTTCGAAAACTGATTCCTATTCTGATTTAGTATTGGTTCAACGATTATGTACGTTAAAAATTATTTTTAGTGTTAATTATATGGTTGTGGACCAAAACTCATAAATTCTCCTAGATCCGAATCAACCTTTAATAATTGACTCGTACCAGCTGCCACTCAATACTACAGAGTATAGAGGTCATTAAACAACAAATATAGTATGTTATCAACTTTGTAGTTGTATTATGTGGTATGTATACCGTAAAATATAAGTGTTTCTACTATTGTAGTCGAGTGTTATAGCTAAGAAGACCTAATTGTTAGATGTTATAACCGAGATGACCTAACTGTCATATATTTGGCTGAATTTAGCCAAATTTATATGACAGTTAGGGTATATATAGTTATGATGTATTATGGTAATGGTGATTCGACTGGCCATATATATTATATTTGAAATGATAACAACTAAATATATAGTCGATATCTTTAATACATAATTATTAATCCTAAGGGAAACACCAAGAACAGATAATCTCATACGTGTTATTACGTATGAGTTTACCGAAATTAGTCGAGTAGAAGGTGAAACCTATAGAAATTATAGAAATGATGGGAGATCGACGTGATACAAAAGATACCACCAAAATTAATGACAAACATTTAAGATATTTGGTGAATTTATACTTCATACTATATTCCAAATAGAGCATTTCACTATGTGAAATAGTCAATACAAGAGGTATATATATTGGGGAAATTTGGTTTAGCATAAGAGCAGAGTCACATTCCTACTCAAGATAGATAGGGACTTTTGGCTGTACACACATGTTTGTTATGTGGTTTGGAAGAGGAAACAAGGAACCACCTCATCTTGAAATGTGTTTTCTCTTATAAAGTTTGGATTGTGGTCCTATTCTTATAGGATAACAGACCTCTATTTATGTAATATATAAGAAAAAGAATCAAAGATTTGACGATGGATATACTTTTCCTCCTTACTTTATTTTAAAATAGGTAGGCCGAAATTCGAGAAACAAAGTTTCTGATCAAAAATTTATGGGTAGAAAAAGGATCGTTATCATCTACGAAAATAGTTTCATTCTTGGGAAATCTTCTATAATCCTCTGGCATGTTACATATATTTTTACACCCTCTAACCGTGCAGTGATCTCATCGTGATTTCTCAACCTTTCTTTTTTGAATCAATTATGGATTTGCCATTTTTTGGGATGGCATTTGTGGATTTTGCCCTTTTTTGAATAGTTTATGGATTTTGCCTTTTTTCAGGCTACGGAAATATGATTTAACATGCGTTTTATTCGTTATGTTTGGGTTTAGTCGGTTGTGGTTGTTCTTAGGGTTTAGTATTTTGTATAAACTACGTATTTTTACCAAAAAAAATCCGAAATACGTACATTTTTAAGTGTAAAAAATGGCAAATCCATAAGATTTTAATGAAAATGACATTTTCAAAAGATTTTGATAAAAAAGGGCAAAATCAACAATAATCCCTTCTTTTTTCAACAATATTCAATATGCAGACTTCGTGACACATCATCGATGATAGTAGCACAAATCGAGAAGTCACTTGTCTTGGTCTAGTTTGTACGTTAGAACTAAAATTCACATAAAAAGAAACCCTGACTATGACATCTTAAGTCCTAAAAAATAAGTCATTAACTCTATAAAATCTATAAACAAAATGGGTTGTTTCTTGATTAACTTTTTTCTCTCAATAATCTCTTTCTATATTTTAATAAGTTGATATTTTAAATATGTTTAACGCTTATTAAAGATTAAGGGCGGCAATATTACCGTAATTTTCTGGAAAAGTGCAGGTTGAACCGTCTATCATCGCCAATTCTGCTAAGAACAAAACAATATATCGTAAGTCATCTCCGACCCAATATATATTAGGCCTTAGGGGTAAAAAAAATGAACTTTGTTTACATTAAAACGAGAGACTTTGTTTTTGATATTTTGAAACCTATAGTTTTTAGTAATCTAAGAGCTGTTTAAATTTTTAATTTTTTCAAATAGATCCCTTTTTAAATAAAAAAACTATTATATGGAAAAAAAATTGTGTTTTCTTAAGATATACTTTTTAAAAAAATTTGGATCTTTATAGGGACATCATTTTACTAGTACTTTTTGGTTTTTTTTGTAATGATTATAAAGTTAAAGACCTTTGAGTCGTATATTTTTTAAGACGAAATTTAGACCATATAATTACTATGTTTTGGAAAACAGATCACTTATTACACAAATATTTTTAAAGTCTTTATATATGTTTTCGATAATACATAAACTTAGTTACTAGACCAACTCGTTTTTGGTTAATTTTTAGGTCATTTCAATTTGACCTTGAAAAATATGATATTTTTTCTTCTTTAATTTCTTTTCAGTAGATGGCTGTCAAAAAAAAAAAAAAATCTTTTCAGTAGACATATAAATCTTTGGATCAGTGCATTTTTGCTCATCCAACTTGGGTCGAGCATGTCGTAAGATTAATGAATGTAAAAACAAAAGTTTGGCTAAGTGTTTTTCTTTATATATTTTTCTTGTTTCGTACTTTTTTTAAGAAAATAATTCTTCTTAGTAACCATTTTATACTTTCATATCTCTTAAAGTGATCAATTTGTTTATAATCTTGTAAGATTTTTATTTGTTTATCACATCAACAATTACATAAGAAACATGAATTCAATACTAGGAAAAACTATCCCAAAAAATTTCCTCCGTTTATGTTTTCTTATGAAATTAACAAATTTGAAAAGTAGTTTTTGATATATTTATAATAAATTGAATACATAGCTTTTCAAACTGCAAATACCGGGGGAAAAAATACCTCTATTTTCGGTTGTGCTTTCATGATCTTTTGGCTTCTTAGGAAGTATCTTTCTCACCAAAGATCTGAAGATTCTACGGATCCCCGAAATGTTTTCCTTTGCACTTCCCATCTTATTTTCCGACTGTATTATATGACTTTCTCGTTGACAAAAGAAAAAAAGTATAATGTGACTATTTCTTTGAAAAAAAAAATTCTGCAACTAAACACAACTCTTATCTGTTTAAATGTGTGGAGACAACCACATATATTTTTCTTTAACAAAAAAAAGTAATGTACATATTTTCCATTCAATTTATATTTTCCCATAAATTTTTTAATATATGATTATGTATATATTTGAAGTACTTGATTACATTCCTTTAATTGTTAATTATAGAGATGTAAGGACATACGTAAGCATTATCTAAATGTGAATGGAAATAAAAGTGAGGTAGATTTGTTCTACCTGTAGACTGTAGTGACAAGGGTTATTACAGTCTTTTTTAATAACTTTTCATTTTTCCAAAAGCATTCTACAATATCGCAATTAACATTGCAAATAAACCATATATAGATGCTTATCCTATTCTAACTTCTTATAACAACTTCTAAATAAATTCTTAAATTTTCCATTTTTTTTTCTTTCATAATATAAATTGATATCATAAAAGAATATTTATATTATTTTCTATATATTGGAGTTGGACTATTATTTTTTCCTAAATTTATTTTCATATATATTAATGTTTTAATATTTCAAAAATAGTATAATATATTAATCTAGATTTTAGCGGACCCATAATCATCAAAAGAAAATCTTATACAAATTTAAAATACACTACTTACATATAATATACTTGTTAGTTATTGATACTTTTCTAAGTAAACTACATTACTTCAACATCCGAATACACGGAAACTAAAATGTCCAACTCTTGACCATATAGATCTCCTCCTTTCAACGTTGTTTGCTAGTCCAAATGTCCAGATAGCCAAAATAATCATCTCTAATTTTCTATAGACTATAGAAAACAACTGCATAACCAATTTAAGAAGATATCGAATTCACAAAAGACACAAACATACAAAATAGCCTCGTACGTGAAGATCAATATCAAACTTACAAAACAGAAGAGTAAAAATAATTATAAACGTCGTCGTTGAAATCTTCTTCAGTCAATCGCAGAGTGGATCAAAATGGCTGCCTCCTCTGTTGTTGGAGCTGCGTCTTCTGCGTTTAGGGACCAAAAGTCATTTCCAAACAAATTAACAATTATCTACTTAAATCATTTGCCAACTCCATAATCTTAACACTAGAGTTCCATCGAAGCAAGCGTCTAACTAATCTAAATTAAAGTGCGAACAATCTCTTGACCAAAAAATAAAATAATTGCAAGATCGAAGGTTAACACACAATACTAAAGTCGAGAGTACCGTACCTGGCAGATGAGAAATAATCTTCTCTAAGACTCCAACACTCGAGCTCTCTTTTTCCTTGTCATTTTCATCTTCACATTCAAATTTTTGAATGTTTTCACCAGATTTTCCCTCTACTATTGTTGTTGTTGTTGCATCCATAAAGTTGGATATCAGATTGTTCAAAATCCCACCTTTAGCTCCTTTCTCTTCTTCTTCTTCTAGTTCTTGTTTATCTTTGTTCATTTCTACTTCTTTTAAACACATGACCTTCTCTGCTTCTGGAACGCCTTCTTCCATATTTCCTTCCTATTGTTTCTTTCCTTACCATTGGTTCCACTTTTCCTTAAGACAGTGCCATTTTATTTAATCTTGTAAAAGTAGTTTGATGTTGAACTTTATCGATGCAAAATAGTGATTTAATATACAATGAGATAATATATTAATTAACTAAAGTTGTACTAAGTCGGTAGAAAATCTAGAAAAGAGCGACACGTCCACTGTTCTGACAAGCGGTCATGTGGTTTTTACACGTACCTCGTAACTTGTTGTTTACCATATATTTCATTACACGTGTCAGCTAACTGTCTAAAACTAAAAGCATTTTCATATTCTTTGTCTGATTTTCACGAATCCACACGTCCCTTGTTGTGAATAGATGTGAATTTGTGTAATTTTACCAATTTGCAAGTTTTTTTTTTGTCACCACCATTTTCCAAGATTTTTTATATGGAGTATATAACAACAACTAGTCATAATTATTTTGCCCATAAAAAAAAGTTTGTGTTTTTATTTATTAGATAGCTAGGATTTTTGAGAAAAATAATAATTAGGATTTAATCTTTTGAAAAATGGGCCACTCTGTTTTTGTCAAGTTTCATATCTCTGCAATCTCAGATTTCTTTCCTATTCTTTTGCAAAAGTTGGTTTCTTTTTCTCTTCCAAAAAATTCAGAAAAAGGCAAAGTCATTTGTTTAAGTATTTCTTTTGCTGGATAAATTTTACATTACAAAAAGAGAAAAAAATCTTCAGATATTGCACTTGGACATCTTATCATATCATTAAACTCTCTAAAACTACCCAAAAAAAAATGAGGTGATCTGTAAGCCTGATGGCCTATTTTAAGAAATCATGAGATCTGGACAAACAATTCTTTTGGTCAGAACAGATCCAAAGTCTAATTTGTGGATTTATATATATAAAAGTATTACATGATAATTTTAAAGCTAGCTGCAACAATTTTGGCTAAAGGGCCTTATGTTTTGTACATGCTTTTCTTTTCTTTTTTCAAGAAACCAAAAAAGTAGCTTGATTCAACTAGTTATTTTTTTGTAATAAACTTGGGTTGCAAGTGGACGTGGGAAGATGGAGAAAATGCATTTTTGACGCCACAGATTCTATGCTTAGTGCTCCAAGGCAGCAATACATGTAAGCCACAAGCTTTTGGTGAAAAACAAGACTGCCTCACGGTTGCACCACTCAAATAAGAGAGCTTCTTCTTCCTTCTTTGGCTAGCCGCTGATGTCACGGCTGCTAGAGCCGCTGCATCCGGTAGAAACCGCTCTATTATGTAACTCGGTGACATGTCTTCGCTTCGTTCTGTGCTTTCCATAGTTAAGTAGCCGTTTGAGTCACCTGCTCCGCTGCTCCCATCCGATTCCGATACGCTATCTTTTGGGAGTTCGACCATGTCTATGGCTTGCGTGAGAGACAAGACATCGACCGTGTCTTGGTTGGTTTGATGGAAATGTTCGTGATTGTTGCGTTTCTTCATATGCAACAATCTAGCTGGTGTTAAACTCTCACTGGCGTCATCAAAGTCGTCGTTTTCACCTTTAACGTGCACCTATATATGATGTAGAACGAATGACAAAATTTTAATTGGTAATGAATGGATTGAAAAACCTAAAACGGGAAAACAGAGAAAATATATTATGGTTTAGAGCGAGAATGATAAACCTTCAATCTTCCAGGAGGTAGTTTGAGGCGGGGCGTCTCGGATTCAGCGTCATTTTTCAAATGAGACGAGTTCTTGGGCATCCCGGGAGCGGTCTCCCAGCAAAACGGGACGGAAGCTTCCGGAAACTGACCCGGAAGCTTCTCTTGGGTGACATGGCGCTTCGTCGACAAGAATGGAGCATTGAAGTTCAATCTTCGGGATCGGTTAACATCCATCATTTCTTCAACAGTAAGATACAAAATCATCTGAGGGTATAAAGTGTTTCTTGTTTGCGACCCCAAGAAGGCAAAATTGTGAGTTTGGGAGAGATCAGCTTTGTTGTATTGACACTCTTCTTTTCTAGTTTGTTAGCTGAAAGTTGAAATTTAATGAGAAGTTGTTGAAAGTTTGAAACTTTCTCGTGTGTGCAAAACCGATATTTGTGGCCTCTTTATTGTGTTCACAGGTCAGGAGAGAGCTTTAGAAAAAGTTAGTGTCCAACCATGTGGTGATAAAATCGATCATGAAACCAAACATTAGAACTCAGAGCCAAAATTAGAATTAAGGAGATGGTTTCTTCATTAAGTGATAAAAAAGAATGTTGAAATATTGAGGATAATTTTGGTGAAACATGTTGAAATGTATGAATGAATAGTTTCTTTTTGTTTTCTTGTTTCAGGAGGATAAAAAACAAATCCCCAGATGCTTTCAGAATCAATACAAGAAACATGTAAAAAAAAAGTTGAAGAAGTTACAGATACAATTACATAATTCCAGTGAAAAAAATAAATAAAAAGAAAGAAGCAATAATACATCTAGAAATAGGACAGAAGAAGAAGTCCAATTTCACCAGAGGTAAGTTCTTCTTCGTGGTTTCTTCCCTTTTTTTGGCCAGAAAACGTATTATCTTAAGCAGCAAGAAACACTCTCTGCACTACTTTATAGTATCCTCACCCCCCAATAACCAAAATTATAGAGAAAAAAAATATATATAAAAAGTTTCTATTTACATGGCTATGCTTGCTTTTTCCCTGGTTCACTCAAACCAAGCCTTGTTTGATTTACTCGGTTTCTGTTTTGCACAAGGAAAATGAAACAGTGTAGAAGCATACCAGGAGGGAAGAAGAGAAAGATTTTGCCCATCAAACCAAAACGATAGTTTTGTTCTACTTTTGGTCGTTTGGTTCACGAGCTTTGTGGTAGAGCTCGAGTGTATCTGCATGACCTGGATCAATACATAATGCTGCTTCACAATCTTTGATAGCAGCTGCTCCTTCTCCCATTGAATCATAGAATGCTGCTCGTAGATGTAACAGCTGGAGATCTGGTTTAAAAGATATCGCCCTTGAAAGCTCGTCTATGGCTTCACTTTCTTTGTGGTCGTCCATAAGAACTGCAACCAAGAGTTCATGTTAAAAAGAACACTTAATACGCTAGTCATAGCAAAGCAAATTGAGTATAACATTGATAAGAACAGAGGCTGTAAAACTACTGTTCTTATACACATTCACCAAACCAGAGAGACTGCATATCAATTCGGTTTAAGAACAGAAATAGATAAACACTCTCAGTTCTGTTTCTATCTCCAGAAAGATGACGGAAATTTCAGTTGGGTCATAAATTCTCATTTCTGTTTCCATCACCACACAAGCTGGGTTCTACGTTTTTCTAACACTTTTGTGCATGGAATTATACGTGGGTGAATCCCTCAGAAAGGATCAGCCATTGTTGTCGTGTTTCTGGCATCCAATTATAAACAACAAACAAAAGGAGGATAAACTAGAACTTGGTTGTGTCATTTGCATACCTGCGGCTCTGTATCTGTAAGGATAGGTTCTGAGAGGGTCAAGTTGTGTTGCCAGGCTAAGGTCGCTCTGTGCCATCTCGCGGTCACAATATTCAGAGCGCTTCTCATATGCCGAAGCATTGTTCTGAGCCTTCTCTATTAGCTTTGTCATTTCATCAAAGGCAGCTTTCCGTTGGTTTTTAAGGTGATAAACACGTGCAAGACCTTGGTGAGCTCGTGTATGCTTGATGGTGAGAGCGTTTGTGTAGCAATCAGCTGCAAGATCCAGCTTTTCACAATCCACATATACGCTCCCCAGGTTGTTCAAAGCCTGCACCAAACAGGAGTTCATGATAATGTCATATGATTTAGTAGGATAACCTTTTGAGCAAATATACTAAAAGCTTTTTAGGACGGTTGGCTCCTGAGATGCGACCACATTCCACTATCAACAAATTATTCCAGACACCAAGTGCAAAAAGTTTTAAACTGGGAATCTTTTTATGGAAAAGTCTGAAGGATGATCCAACAAGTAAACCCTCTAGAAAAAGAATTGACTTGTTGAGAAATCGAATTACATAAATGAAAACTGTTGAACTCTTTACTTACTTGTCCCTTACGGAGACCATCTGAGGGGCACTTAAGTGCTTCTTGAAGTAGCTGAATCACATAATTTGAGGAATCCGGGTCAAGCGTGGAGTCCGCAAGGGCATAAGCTTTGAGGAAAAACGCTTCAAAAGATCTTTGTATGGAAATGGACTCCTCGGCTTTGGCAAGGGCTTCCTCGCGGTGACCTGTATCATACAGTATCCATCCTTCATACACAAGTCTCTCATGCTCCGACTTTGAATGGTTTCGAGCCAGCCTTAGACTACGCATTGCTGCCTTTTGACAATTTAACCTGTCAGTATGCAAGCAGCACTTGTTAGAATCAATTAGAGTCTGCCACAACATGCACCATAAGATAAACGTTTTCATTGAGAAGCATAAAGAGAGATTATACCGTAGCAGGAGAAGAGACTGTCTGAATCGTAAAAGACTCTTCCCTGGATCATTTGCAAGCATATGATGAACAACTGCTAGAGAACCAATATCATCCACAGACGACCAACGATCATACAGCTGCATCCAGCAATCAGCTTGGCTCCACTGCTGGGCTAACGGACGGAGCAGCTCCACCATATGATCACCATGGATTTTCCAGTTAAACATCATAAAATTCGGCTCCAATGTCAAAAGCGCCCGAATATCTTTCAAAGCACCCTCATAATCCTCCATACCTATAGAAATCCATGCCCTCATCTCCAGACAGTCAGGAGAGGCCTTGAATCCAAGAATCTTGTTCAGTTCCGAGATCGCAGCTCCAAACTGGTTCTCTTCAACCAATGCCACTGCCCTGAATTTGTAGGGGAATGTCAAAGTCGGGTCTAACTCGGTAGCTGTATCCAAATCGAGCAGCTTTTCTTTACCACTGCAATACAAGGACCTCTCCTGGTGCATCCACCCAGTAGCTTTATGATCCGAAATCAGTGAGTTGATGATCTTATAAGCCGAGTACCTATGATCACGCTTGAACTTAGACCTAGCAACGCCCACGAGGGAGTAAAGATGACCAGCTTCAACTGCTGCGTTAAACCATCTCTGAGCATCCTTATATTCTTTTCTCTCCAGCATCACCACTCCTAATTGGTGATACGCAAGCTGTTTCTCCCAATTATCCACCGCGCATTCAACCAAACGTTCTAAGAGCATCACAGTAGTGTTAGATTTCATATCATCTTCCATCGCAATCTGGCTTAAGAAGAAGTACAATGTAAAAGAAGCATGGCCAAGAGATGCCAGTCTTTCACGTCCCTCGGCACTGCAGAAGATCTTTATAACATTCGGATTATGCATAGAGCTTGGCAATTCCCTAAGAAATATCTGAAGACAAGCTGCCACCAGAAGGTATGCAGCCTCTTCTAATCCATACTCGATCAACAACATTGCCTCGTCCAAAGAATTAACAAGATGTGCCAAATGCGAATCGCAAGCGGATTTCAATTCATCGCAACAGAACCGATTCGCCAGCTTAAGAAGCTCCAAGACAACATTAGGAGGGAAGTTATCTAACCTGTTGGTCCTGCTGAAAATCTCTGCAGCTCTCATCCCTTCAACAGAGATTCCGTTCTGCGTAAAATTGATCGTGGCTCGTTTCATTTCTCTAAACCCACCGTATAACATCGCCTTGAAAGGTCTTGACAAAGACGCGATTTTGTACCTCACACAACGAACCTCCTCATCACCAATACAAAAGGACATATCATAGTCTACTTCCTCAGAAGTAGAACATTCATCTTCATTCATCATCTCTGATCTAGAAGCTCCAGAGCAAACACATGGATCATATACAGATTCCGGATCATACCCTGAAACAAGAGTCGCCTTTGGACATTCCAAATTCCTCCCACAACAATCCATAGAAGTTGTTCCAATTAACTCATCCTCCCTCCTCTCATATCGAAGCCACGACGCTAACACGACTTTCGCGTGAACGTCAACCGCGTGTTGCCTAGACGATCGGAGACTCCGCCGGAACAATTTCGGATCAGAAATTCCCCGGAAGATAGCGCATTGCTCTAAATACGCCCCAGATTTCTCAAATTGGGAACAATTCTCAATCCTCCGATAAACTTCAGCCATCTTGTCAACCAAATCAACGAATTTCAAACAAGGATCGATTTGAGGTTCAAGCAGATCCGTCACAGGAAGTCCACAGGGAAGAAGAAACTCCGGCGAAACAACAGCGTTTGCTTGATTCGGAGGAGGATAAGTCCGGCTTGATTTAGATCGGACTGAATTAACACGAAGATGATCTGAAAGGTGTTGTAAAAGCTTATCCCCAACTCCTCCACCTCCTCCGGTGCCACCGCTACCACCACCGCCGCTATTACCAGGAGGAGGAGGCGGAGGAGGAGCTGATGGGTTAAGAGCGTAAACTTGTGTACCTTTACAACCTTCTGCAAGCTTCAAACTTCGCATTGTTGTGAAGAGATTATGCTGCATCTTCAATCAAACGCAAACAAAGTTTTCAAATTTATCCAAAGATCTGAATTGGGTCAAAGCAAAATACAAGATTTACAAATTTCTTCCGTCACCTTTAAAACAATTCCGAGGATTGGATCACGGAGCCAATCCAAAAGTCCGGTGCTTCAGACCCTTTAAGCAAAACCAATAAAAATCAAAAAATATTTTACAAAGTTTGTGTTTTTTATATCTTCCTCAACGAAGCTCTTCTTCTTCGTCTTCTTCTTCTCGGAAATCGTGTTTTTGCAGTGTAAGTTTCATCGATCCGGTTCGTTTTTTTTTTTGTTCGCACTAATTTTACGAATCTATCCGTAAAAATAGAGAGAGGTAATTGGAGGAAGAATCTTCCTCCGCTCGATCTCTCTCAGTTTTGGTTTATTGTTTTTTTTTTTTTTTTTTTTACGAATCTGTTTTCAGAGAGAAGTCATGTGTTCTAATAATGCAAAATTAAATTTTTTTAAAAATTATTATTATTATATGTGTTTGTTTGTGTGGCTTCTTTTTTTTTTTGCCTTTTTAATTTTTGTCCTCTTGTTAGTTTTGTGGAAAGTAATTTGATTAGTTTATTTTATTTCCATTTAAAGCTTAAATTAATCCTCTTCTAACGTTATCAACTGCCATTTTTTATTTCTTAGATTTTCGCGGCACTTTTTAGTTTTTACAATCTCCAAAAAGGTTGAAAAAAATATACATAATTAATTAAACATTTATATGAAAGTACTGGCCTTTAATTTACTTTGACAGTTTATTTATTTATCCCCACTTTCTTTAGCATGCTTCTATGTTACATTTGTTTCCCTTTTTTCTATTTGTTTAGTCTCAAATGTGTATTCGTTGTTGTGTTCCCTTCTCTTTTTTTTTTTTTCTCTTACTGAATTTGAACTTTTACTTTTGGGTGGGTCTTATGCTTTTACCAAAATTATGAAGTTAGATCATATTTATCGATTTTGTTATATCTAAAATATAAGCGGAAGATTGTCCGATTTTACCCAAAGTGGAACTTGAACAAGACAAGAGTGGATATGGTATTTTTACTAAAATCACTTATCAAATTGTCTGTTAGAATATGTCAAAACTATAATCCGCTTGACCAAATAAATTTATAATTTTACCACTATGTAGCCAGTTTAAATTACGCAAAAAAAACACCACCATAGATCTGTCAGAATCTTTCATAAACAATATTTCTGCAGAGATTCGTCGTTATCATTTATATTAATAATGTAAAGTATCTTTAAAATGTTTGAGGCTACCACATATACCGGTTGTGCGTGACACAATTACATTGCTGATATTTTCTCTCAAAACCAATTATGTTTACTGATACAAAACGTAAGAAACGTATCATAGAATAGAATATATATTAAAATTAAAATATTATTTGACAGAACATAATAAATTGTCGAGAAAATTAATAATAATAAAATTAGTATGTGCTGTTAGATAGCCGGCAAAGGGCTTTTGCCACCCACATTAAGCGGCGAAGTCATGTCAACACGTTTTACTGTTAATTTTGTTATATATAAATGCTTAAGGAAGTAATCGTAATTAAATCTGTGTTAAGCTATGATTAAGTCTGATATATTGATGGGTGATTATTAGTTTATGTGATGACACACGAATATTATTATTATATAGATAAATATAATTCTATGAAACATATAATTGAGAATGAAACTTAAGGTCATGTGGGTGAGACAGCTAAGAATGTCTTTTTAGTTTCGGGTAAGAATGTATTTTTATCCAAAAGCACGGATCGTACTATACACTTTGTACATTACCCACCTAAATCACTTGTCTATTTCTCTATGTCCCCACATAATTCTCTTCTTTTTTTTTTTTTTTTTTTTTACTGTCTTCTCAATAAAATCATTTTTTTGTTCAAATATTAGATAACACAAATTTTGGCATAAAAGATTATGGTAAAAAAATTAGTAATACATAAATGATTGATGGTACCGCTAATTTGTACCGTTATATGATTGGTAACTATACTAGCGATAACGTACACCATTTACTTTTTGGTATAGGGTTACTAATCACACACAATAATTTTGGTGAATTTGTTTGTATGGCAATAATTGGATTTTTAAAAGACAATATACGAGATATGGAAAAGCTCATAGGTCTTGGGAAATTTCTGACTAGAGATTTTTCTAGAAAATAATATCATATATTTTATGATGTCGAATCTAGATAATAAACTAAAGTGTTGTTTGATTTTGTATTAAGTTTGAATGCTCAACATCCATAAGCCATAATAAATTAAGCTATAGGTCCATCAAATATTTGAAGAAATAAAAAAGACTGCGAATCGACCCATTACTAGTTTGGCCCAAAAATTTCAAATGGGTTAACCCAACCCACCCATTACTCTCATTCAATCTATTTGGTTAATAAATCATCCATTTTTGACAGTGTTAAAATGTATAAAGTGACTGAAACAGGCAACAGTAAGCATATATTATTTTTTTTACATTTTATCTCTATCAATCAAACTTTAACGCCCGATTGTTATAACATGGGAACACAAAATGCAAAAGTATTCCCAAAACTCAAAAAGTGTATCCATAATCTTACTACAACGACATTAGCCAATTAGGCACTACAGAGACATCAAATATTATTTGAACATTTCGTTTCGTACAAAAGATGTAGATTCAGATACTATTCGAATTTTATATAGACACTGGAGGAGCATAAAGCCGATACTTTTATGGTTATTTTCCAATTTAACAATAATCAAAAAGATAAACAGTAACCAAAAGCACTTTTTCCTTCATGGCAACGTAACAGTAATAAAAAAGTCAGTCAAATTTCTCCCAATCTTGAGTTACATTGGCTGAAGGCGAAGCTGGCGGAGGAGGGTTCAAGCTTCCAACACCGTTTCCGAATGATTCCCACTCAGTGCTTACTGCTGCGGCTTTGCTCTGATCCACAAACGGATTTGAACATCTTGCCTTCAACTTATCCACAATCTCCTGCAAGTTTTGGACTCTACGTACCTGCCAACACAAAACCCAATCATTCTTCAGTCTATGATTAATTTAGACTGAAGATAGAAGAAAGATGACAAGATGATTCAGAGGAGCACAATCCCAAATCTTAAGAAAACTAATAAATGTATCTTAACCAAAGTCTCTACATTTACAATTATATGAAACAAAAACGATATATGAAATCTGAATGTGTCTTTACTAAAGTCTACATCTAGATCGTTGCAACTAATCTTAGCTTATAAAAGTAGTATAATTCTGAACTCTATTAACACTCTTATCGTCTGAACAAGTTTATTATGCACGCAGATGAACAAAGTAATAAACTAAAAACTAACCTCTGCCTTACGCTGTACTTTAGCTTCCCCTTCAGCCTCAATGCCATCCAATTTGAGCAACTGCCTCATGAGAAGCTCTGCAGTCATGTCAAACTCCCGCACCGCAACTTTCGTCCCTCCATTCACAGCAACTTCTAAAGCAACAACCTAATTTCAAAATAAGAAACAAACCTAGCTTAAGCACAATCCTTCCTTCCTCTCCTACAGTAACAAAAACCTTTTAAAAAAAACTCACCCTATCCGAGAGCTTATCGACCTCTTCTGTAACCGCAACAAGTGCAGCAATAGCTTTTGCCATCTCTTTGGTTACCACCACAGGAGGAGGCTGCTGTTCAACTTGTTCCACTCTCTTATTCGTATCCTCAACGAGAACAAGCTTAGACGCATCCTTAACACCAGCAGCTTGCAATTGTTCAGTATCATCTTTCTCAACTCCCCTGAACAAGATCTTCAATTCACTAGCTTCCAACCCAGTTTTCTGGACAAGGGCTTTCTTCACATCCCCTATTTATCACATTCGAGCTTAAACATATCAATCTTAACTACATTAACACAACCTCAACAAAAAAACTAGATTAAGCAAGGAAAATTTCATAAACTCCATAATGAATCACGATAAATTCTCTGAGGCTTCCATTATTTGGAATTTCAAGGCGAAGGAATAGAAACGGATCGGGAAATGAGCTGAGCGTTTTGTTACCGAAAGTGGCGTGAGCAGAAATATGAAGATCGTGGTGGGATGAGCCATGAGAAACAGTGATTCTGATGGTCTGAGAAAAAGCGGCGGAAGCAGAGTCGGGATCCTGAAGAGGTTGGTCGGAGGAAGCGGTGTCGTCTCTTCGTTGGACGAGCATACCACCAGGTCTCACCTCCCATTCCGATTCGTCGGTTGAATTATGCATCATTGTTTTCGAGAAGGAATTGGAGTATGAGAATGAGATAAAACCTTTTGGAGCAACAAATTAGGGTTTTTTGACGGAGGATGATGATTCACACCTCCTCAAGCGGCCATATAAATTCTCCTGATACACACACGGGTTTTCAATTTTTATTATTTTCCCTTTTTCCGGTAATTAGAATTTCTTACGACTTGGGTGTGAACAAAAATATCTTCAGAAATACTAACAATAATTTTGGTATTTCACATACATGATGATTCTTCAAATAAATTGTGAAACGTCAATTTTTTCTTTTGTTTAGTATTATTTAAGATTACCAAAAATAGTTAACGACTGGTTTTAGATCCAACCAACCGGCCTTGAATGGAACGAGTTGTGCACGTAACACTCATTTTGGCAGAATTTGAACAGGCCGAAACAAGACTGTGCCCAGATCAGGCCGGCAGAACCACCACAACGCATATAGAGAGAGATTGAACTTGGCATGGTCCCCAACCAAAAGGAATTTTTAGGCCTAAAATAGGAATTTTCTTGATTGAACTAAAAAACCAAAAACTATCGAAGAGTAGCATGGCCTCGATCAGAATTTAGTTAAGTAGAAATAGAGCAGCAAGTAGAGTAATGGCGATTTGTCCATAGCAATCGAACCTGGTAGCGACAAATATTGTGATGCCTCGTTCCCTACTTGATAGTCAGTTTTTGATGACTGAATCATATACCACTCGTTTCCATACTTGCTATGCACTGAAAGACTATTACATATATAAAGATGCAGTTAAAAAACTGCAAAAGCTATAAGAGGAACAATTTATGCTAAAGCTATATTAGTAGTTGGTTATCTAACACCAAGCCCAAGAGAAGCACAATGCCATGATTCCAAGGCTAAAAACTTTGAAAATGAAAATTCTAGAGGCAAATAGAGGCATCCAAAAAGGACTCAGAAAGTACAAACTTGAAATCTCCAGGGCCAGAATTGCCTGAACATAAGATGCATAAAAGGAATGTGTAACCATCTTCGAGATTGTCAACAAGCTCGACACATATGTATAGAACAACAAAGAAAGATCTTGGAACATACAGAACAACTAACAGGAAGTTCTGGAAGATCGATATTTTCAAATCTTTTGTCTATAGTACCTAGTCATGATAAGGCCACACAAGCTACTACTTTGGTGATACATTTACAATTTATATACCCACGACCTGGTCAAGCTGATAAGCTTCACTAGATCAATCTAATCTGTGTGCAGCAGAGAAACAACAACAAACAAACATAACTTCACTGAATAAACCTAATCTGTGTACAGAATCAACAACAAACAAAACATCCAAAAACACAAGAAACGAAGCAGCAAATTTGATCCCTCGTCAAATTGTTTCTTTATTTGATCAACATAACAAGAAAGTAGATTAGCTTATAGCTTTGTGGGATCAAACAAAGCTACTGTATAGTGTGTATCATCACATTTCTCCTCCTAATTCTCAAATAGACTCAAAATCAAATCTCTGTTTTCCAGGAATAAACCATTCCAATCTTCCTACTCTTTTCCCAGAAACTATAATCAAATATATCATTATAAGATGAACAATAATACCCACCAAAAGCTCGAACTTGGGGAAAATTTTGATAAACTTAAAAAGAATGAAGTTTATACCAAACTAAGAAGCCACTACTTGAGCAGCTTGTTCAGTGGCTGCCGCCGCTTCAATAATCTTCTTATTCTTCTCAATCGCCGCCGCAACTTCCTGTGGCATATACTTCTCATCATGCTTAGCCAAAACTTCCGTGGCCGAGAAGAAACAATCGAGATTCCTAGCTTTCTGCGAAACAGGTTTTGTAGAAACTTCCTTCCTCACTTCATCCGTATACGGCTTAATGAATCCTTCAACCACAACCGAGTGACCTTCCCTAAACAGATCCGGCAAAGATCCTTTGTATCTAACCAAAATATCTGTAATCAGATCGGTGATCACAAATTCCATCTCCTGTGACGCCGCCGGTTGCGCAACGCTACCTTCTAGAACCAAACCACCGAGTCTGAATTTGTTTTTGGTTGGATTCTCTGCGAATTTCTCCATAGCGTCTGATGGCGTTAGGTAAAAGACAAGCTGATCTTGGAATTGGTTTAGGACGATAACTACGAAGCCGGCGATGCAGCTGAAGGTTAACGCGTAGGTCCACAAACGGCGATTCTGCATCTGACGCGCTTTGGCTCCGATGTCGATCTTCTTAGGACGCGTTGGACCACGACGAGCGATGGAGAGAGATCGGAGGAAGGTTAAGGATGATAATCGCGATGGATCTGGTGAGGAGGTGGTCAATGAATAAAAAATCGGGGAAGGAGATTCGAATGATGATGAGATTTGAGGATTTCTTTGAATAGATCGGAGGATTTGGGAACTTCGACGGAACAACAATCTAGCCGCCATTTTTTCTGATTTTCCCGGGAAGATTGATTTTTCCTCGAGGGAATCAATCAAATTCCGGAGAAAGTGAGAAGAGGTTTATGAGGTTTTCTGGAAAAATGAGGAAGAAGCCACAACCCACAAGCCGCCCCACTGAACTATGGACCACGTCAAGAACCTCTGTATAGGTTAGAGGGTTTAATCACAAAGCTAAAGTGTTTGTCCTTCTGTCACAAAGTTTTCCAAAGATGCATATGCAAGTGTCGAAAGTTTTTCTCTTCTGTGAAATCAAATTCCTTACCACGTAACACACACATTAAAAGAGTAAGTTTGCTGGTAGCACAAACAGCATTGCACTTGAGCTATGTACAAGATCAGTATGCTGACTTTTTTGGTTAAAAGACTACCGATAAACTAAGTTTAGAAACCACCAAGTATTTTTGATTCGAGAATGAGATACACGTTTAGGACAAGCAGAAAAATGATGATGAAAGGTGTTTTGTGCAAAAAAATGCACAAAGGTGATAAACTCTTTTTTGTTGTTTTTTTTTTGTTTAAGAAGAGACTCTCTTGAAACCGAAACATACAAAGAAAGAGGTACCTCAAGTTTCAAAAATTCTTTAAAAGAAACAAAGACAAATCTTCCTACTCATTCTTGAGCATTACTACTTGCGTCCATTGGCTCAGCCTCTGTTGAAGCCTCTCCTTTCTCTCCTGCCTTCTTGGCTGCTAAACACCAAATTGAATCTTTTTAATCAACATGTGGATCGCATTATATAAAGTAAAAGTCTGGAAATTTAGTTTTAAGTTCTTACCTTTCTTCTTCTTTCCACCACCCTTCTTCTTCTTGATACCCAAGGCTAACCACCCTTTGATCTCAGGGTCCTCAGAGGTCTTAGTTTCAAGCTTCTGAAGTTCATGTGAAGTGATCCTATCCGATCCATTTGGCATCAGCAAAACTGTGAACTTAATCTGGGCAACAAAATCCCCTGAAAAATGACACGAGTCCTGATGTCAAGATTCAGATAAAAGAGTTCTATAGATTAAAAAAAAAACTTCATCCTCCTTACCAGGCTTCTCGTAAAGAACAGGATATGGTTGCAAATGACCATGGTTCACACACTCCACAAGCCCAAGACGAGCCCTTTTCTCCTCCAGTGACCTGTATTGATAGTAACGGTGCGTGAGACAATATTTTTAAGAATATAAAATGCTCAAGAGGGTACAAAAGACACCTTGCAGTGAATGGCATACGGGGGAAGTTCTGTTTAATTTCGCTGATTATGAATCTGGAGGCCTTCATCTTCAACTGATAGTTAACACTCTCATCTTTCTTGTAAATAGTTGTTTGCTTCTCGTCTAATAGCTTTGGCTGCAAAGTCAAAGATTGTGAGAACAATGGCAATAGATAAAGGTTCACCAAAAGTGATCAAGATACGATAAACAAAAGCAATTACCTTGCCATCACCAGTGCTTGCCACAATATCTATTGCATAGACTTCATTCTCTTCAAATTCCACTTCATCAACAGTTGTTTCAGGGCTGGATACACTTAGCACAACCTTGTTTCCATCTATCACATGCTGCTTCATCTGGTGGGAAAGAACCCCTTCAACAATTTTGCAGTCATAAGCTGCAGCCACCTTCTGAATAGCTTCAGTTACATCAGTGTTCTGCCATAAGAAAAACAGAATATCAATGTCTTGATTGCAATATGTTGTATGATTAAACAAGAAACTACAAACTCATAGCAAGAAACTTTATTTAAAAAACATTCCCACATCAAAGTAACTATGGCCTCATTTGGATGTGAATCCATAGCAATTACGGCCTGTATCCAGAAATCTCTTCCCAAAACAATTTACAGGTTAAATCCGTTAAAAAATAAACAAACCATTCAGCATCGTGCAACATAGACAAAGTTTCATCGCCTCATAGTAAATCCAATGAGGGATCATACTAAAGTTCAGAAAGAAAAAAAATCCCATCAGAGTAACTATGACAAAAAAGCATCAGATGGATAATAATCCATAGCCATTTATAAGTGTTCATCATCTGGGCTTTACAAAACTTTGACAATCATTCAAGAACCAAATAAACCAAAAGCCTATACTTTCAACTTTCATGTAAAAATAGTACTAGGGATACCTTCTTTCCAGGACGTACGAGCCTCAAAGCAACGTCAGCTGCATCACTAGCGGCACGAATAACATCAGATTTACGCCCAGTAACAGTCCCTTCTTGAAGAACATGTGTGTGACCAACAAGAGCAATGAACCCATCAATATGGCATCCCATATCACTGGGATTGAAACGCAAAACAGCATCAGTAATAACACAGATAAATCATACGGACACATCTAGAAAAGGGTATTACTTGAAGACAACTTACATTTTAACCATATCACCATCTTCCAACACAGACTCATCACTGGCAAGCGGTGAGAAATGACCAACAGTGTTGTTCACAGAAATGCATGTAGGGAAAGCAACACCTCTCTCAATCTTCTTCTTAGCATTCTTGTACATGCTCGCTGTTTGCCTAAAAACCAAAGAAAGAACAAACACATAAATATCTAAAAGTAATCACGAAATCAAAATCCATTTCAATAATAAAAATCCTCACTCTTTGATAAAAGCATCTCCTTTCTCGCAGATGTCAACAATCTTAGCTTTTGGTTTGCATTCAGCTAAAACAACCTGCAACGCCTCTGCAATTCAAAACCAAAAAGAAATCAATACTCGATAAAGCTACACCGTGAAAACCCTAAATCCAAATCGGACTCAAAATCGAAAGAAGAAGAGAGAAAGAGAGGGCGTTACTGTTAACGATCTCAGCGGCGCTCTTGTACTTGGTAACGACTTCAGGAGAGGTAAGACTCAGCTCCTTCTCGTCTCTCTCATCGTCCGAACTCATCTCTGATAACTCTCGACGATCGAAACAGGGGAAGCAAAATGTTAGGGTTTAAGGAGGAGCGATTGGGGGAAAATGGTGGTGAAGAAGAGAAATGAAAGTGTTGGCTCAAATAAAGGTGCTAGGGTTTTCGCTTTGTGTACTCTCTTCTTAAACGGCACCGTTTTGGATTAATCCCTTTTTTTTTTTTTTTACGTTTTCCAGTTGCCGTTACTCATATACTCAACATGGGCCGAAGGAAAGCTGTTTCAGAATTGTACTTATATACTCAACATGGGCCGAAGGAAAGCTGTTTCAGATAAGCCCACGTCAGGTGGCTCTCATTATTCTTCAAGACAATAAATTCATATAATTCGATATTAAATATTTATTTAATTTTTTGGGTTAAGAAAATCTTTTATGGTAAGGATATATTCATATAATTCGAATAGTGATGTTTAAAGTCTTTTTTCTAAACGTTCATTTTGTTTTTGATTAATCTAATATTACCTAAAAAAAATTAATGACGGCCATATATGTACATCGTTGATAAATTATATCCTTTGCTTTAGTAGATTTTTGATGGATTATCTATACATTTTTTATAATAATTTTCATCGCTAGAACTATAAATTTATTGCTATATTAGCCTTGGTGTCCATATGATATCGACACATATAGCCGACTTGCAAAAGAACTCACCCACTATACAAATTCCATTTTGCGAAAAACTTCGTCCCGAACTTCATTCAACGAAGGTCAAATCAGTTGTATTTGGAAAGATATGTAATTCTCTTTTCGCCTCCTTCAATTTAGTTAATGAAACTTTCCATGGCAGATTCAATATGATGCCAAATTTCAAAAATTGATTTTCATTCTAGTTTTGCTTGCACAACAAAAAAGAGGAACTAAATCAGAGTTTGTATTGAGTTTCAGATTATTAACCACCGGACCCAGATTAACTTTGTATTAGGTTTCAGATTATTAACCACCGGATCCAAATTAGGGGTTTTCACAACAAAACAGAGGAACCACTTTGAGCAACAACGAACGAGAACAAACCTCAAATCAGGCGCCGGGACGAGGACGAGGTGTTTTTCCGAGTAAATCCTTTATCTTCTTCAACGCAGCATTACCAAACTTCTTCCACTTCCCCAGAACCGTCTCGTTCTCTCTCTCCTGCGCCGGATACCAAAGCTATATATGCCATGCTATATATACGAACATTTTAAGCCAACAACCATACGAACACAAGAAAGCGTGATACCAAAGCTATATATACCAAAGCTAAATTTTTGAACACTGGTCTTTGGCATAAGCCATACAAACAGCTAGTCATATTTAGAAATATAAAATTATTTTTAAAAATATAGGTAGTTTGGTGTGTATATTTTGTACACTTCATTTGTTTATCATTTTAATGAACATTTTTCTAGTTTGTGTGTGTTTTTATGTATTTTTAGTTTTTTTTAATCTTATTATTTTGTGACGAACTTACAATGTTTTGTAGGTTTATAAAGTATTTAAACAAAAAAAACTTACAAATGTAGGTTTATAAAGCCCATTATTACATTACAAAAAGAATAGGAAAGATTGCACTTATTAGATTTTCAAATCAATGATTATTAACACTATTTCAACTGATATGAAAAAGACCTACCATGGAAAACAGCTTTTTAAAAAGAAAATCCGACAATGTGGGTAAATTATCTTGATTTCTTAGGGAATGGATTAAGATTAATTGGAGTCGTGTCAAGCAGCTCGTTAATAACTGTAGCAAGTTGACTGAGTAAGCATCAACGTGTCATCTCCACAAAGCCCATTATTTCTAGTCTCGCCGCGTCTTCTCTCCCACGTAGCACTTCACTTTTTCTCTACTTTTTGTTTCCTTTGAACCCAAACGTTTCTTCTATTTATAGGAATTATACGTCGTCCGTATCTATGTCGGAACATAGAACCAAAATAGAAGCAACTTAATTAAATTACATTGTTTTTTTTTAAAAAAAAATGGCGTCAAAGCAACTGAGCCGAGAAGAGCTCGATGAGAAGGCGAAGCAAGGAGAGACCGTCGTCCAAAGTGGCACCGGCGGCCACAGCCTCGAAGCCCAAGAGCATCTTGCTGATCAAGGTATTGCCTTAAACTTCAACTTCTCGACACTATTTAATTTCTATTTTCGTTAAGTATATAAGTACTGGTTATATAAGGCTAGAAACATTAGATGTTAATATCTTAATATAAGATTATAATCTACGTATTATACGCGACTATAACGTAAAGTTTACTCTTAAGATCTCCATGTTTCATGGAACACATGTGTTAACGCTTGGTAGGAAGGAGCAAAGGAGGAGAGACGAGGAAAGAGCAGCTAGGGCACGAGGGTTATCAGGAGATGGGACATAAAGGAGGAGAGACGAGGAAGGAGCAGCTAGGGCACGAGGGTTACCAAGAGATGGGACATAAAGGAGGAGAGACGAGGAAGGAGCAGCTAGGGCACGAGGGTTACCAAGAGATGGGACATAAAGGAGGAGAGACGAGGAAGGAGCAGCTAGGGCACGAGGGTTACCAAGAGATGGGACATAAAGGAGGAGAAGCGAGGAAGGAGCAGCTAGGGCAGGAGGGTTACCAAGAAATGGGACATAAAGGGGACGAGACGAGAAAGGAGCAGTTAGGGCACGAGGGCTATCAGGAGATGGGACGTAGAGGCGAGAAAGGAGCAGCTAGGTCACGAGGGCTATCAGGAGATGGGGCGCAAAGGAGGACTCAGTACAATGGAAAAATCTGGTGGAGAGCGTGCCGAGGAAGAAGGGATTGAGATCGACGAGTCCAAGTTCACCAACAAGTGATAGTATAGCTACTAGCTTGTAGTGTCCGCTGCTACAATCCGTAGTAGATAATCTGAATAAGTAACCTTGTAGGTTCTGTGGTTGGCAGCGTGGGTTTTAACTAGGGTTTTAATGTAGTGCGTTTAGTTTTTGTTTTGTTTTATGTGTGTGATATAACTACGCACGGCTTCTACTAACGGCAGGATTGTACCGCTCGGAAGGTTTTTGAGTGTTTGGAGGGTGCAATCAAATGATATGCGTTTATGTTTTGAAATGTGGTTTTACTCGGTGTTCTACTTATTATTATTATAATTGGTCCAACAACGAGAGCCTTGATATGTTGAGATTGCATATCAAATGGGTTTGAGCTGATCAAGTGGAACATTAATATAACTTTCCAACATTCACTATATGTATGCCAAGTCTATTCTTTAAGGTAATTGTCCTCCTCCACAAATCGTGACATGCAGAATCAAACACACATAATTCTCTTTAACGGTAGATTCTTCAAATTAAACTCTACATTGATCTTGCTCCACTTTAGTAACTTCGTTTTTTAATTACTCCTATAGAAGCCAGTCAAAATGATATACTTTTTTACTACTCACAAAGCTGTGGAATCAGAAGCTACAGTAATGTAGTAACACAGTTTCAGGTTGTTAAAAACAGTAACATACGTATAGTCTAGTTTTGAACCCAAAAAAGAGTATACTCCAGTTTTTGTAGTTCTCAAGATACACATGTGACATGTACGATATTAGTTGGGTTCTTCTTAACAGTACTAGTTGTTAGAATATAACAAGTGAGGAAGTATCATTTTGTTATTACTGTTTTTATGTGATTTATGTTTAGAATCAATACAAAAAGTGCTGAAAATAGTTAAAACACTACAGAAAACAAAAACAATTCTGAACGCAGATATAAGTGACAGAATAATATGCCTGTCTTATTTCGAGAGACGTTACAATTTCTCAGCCGTTCCGCTAAATTGATACAACAAGAGTTGTCTCTAGTGATGGTACATACATTTTACAAGATCTTAAACTAGTTGATGCCATCACTTGCCCACATTTGGGATTTCAACACCTCTGTTTTCGCCAAAACTCCATCAACATACGCCTTTTTCAGTGTTGCGATGCTAATGCCGTTACAAATATGCCGAGCACCAAGAATGGCTGCGCGCTTGCCTGTAAACAAGATGTATATTTCAAGCAACTTCTGATTAAAAAACCACTCAAAGATATTTCACAAGAAGATAGCTATGTGTACTTAGTTGACTTACCTGGTACTTGACGTCGTATTTGACAGGGTCCTTGAGAAAGTATTTAAACTGCAGATTATAGAAGAGTATAACAATCAGACGAGTGACAAGAATAAGATTAATTTGTTGTGACACTGTTAACGTCTTTACCTGGAACACGATCTGAGGAATGATCAAAGCAACCAACGCCAACGCATAATAAGGTTTGCCAGATGCTAATAGATATCCTGCAACCAAATAGACATTTACTAGTGATGATCTCTACCTTTTATTTTACTACATGTGGAACAATCAAATCAAGGAAGGAGGGATTTCCCAAAAACTTAAGACAGTAGGTGATGCAGATGAACATATAAGTTCTGTTATTCCATGACACTCTTGGACATACATGTTTTAGAAGCATGAAATGAGAATCCACGAAACACACAAATGAAACATAAAAGTAGATGCCACCTCTTCATTAGCTCATTTCATTAGAATGTGGCATCTACTTTTATGTTTTACCTTCGTTGATTCATTTCGTTGACTTGTGTTTTTTTTACCATTGGTGAATATCCAATTGATAAGATCAAGCAGAAGAAATAGAAGCCACATCTGCACAAAATTATGAATACTACATACCAGCAACAGAGAGCTGAGTAACGTCTATAGCACCAACGCATATCCATTTTGCAGTTTCAGTGCCAAAAGCTACTGGGAGAGACTGTCCATTTAGGGCATAAGATAACAATCAGACAAATCACTGCAGAGACCATTTCTGAGATATTTACATTGTTTCAGGAAAAGAGAATACATAATACCTGAAGTCCCATTGCTCTGTCTCCTTCAACACTTTTGAAGTCATTAACAATGGCTATTCCTAACTGCATTATCACACAGGTACAACATGAAGCAAATGTAGATTACTTAAGAAACAAAAAAATGCATCATAAAAGGTTGCAAGAAGAGTACCCCAGCTATGCTGTACAAAAGTGTTAGAACAACAACGTCTGGTGTAAGAGTGCCAAACAATGCTTGGCCAGCCCACCTATCAGTCAAGTGAGCAAGAAACAAATCAGTGAGATGAGAAGAACGCCAAATATTGATACACGAGATATCTTACCATGGCAAACTGATGTAGCTTGCTCCAAGTGCAAAATTTCCAACCCATCCATTTTGTTTTAGCTGCAAACAGATCAGTTCAGATATTGATAAGTTCTTTACTCCAAAACTTAGATGGAGTGCATATCACTACAGGAGAGGAAGTTAGGAATAGAAGTTACCTTAAGAGGTGGAGCAGAGTATATATAAGATAGCAATGATCCTCCCAAAGCAAGATAGAACACAGTGGGCGTGGTATGCCCTGCCTGAAAAGGGAAGATTTAGTAATTCTGATGTGTCCTTTAACTGTAATAGTTTATGTCAGAACCATCAACTTACCCACACATCTAATATTCCAGCAATTCCAAGACCTCCCAATAATAGCACCCAGACTTGTGTAATAACCTGCATTTTAAGGAGTTGTAAACAAGAAGTACAAATCAGAATCACAAAAGTGATCAAAGCTCAAAATGCTCTCTGTCTCAGTACCTCTTGCTCTGATATTGCTCCAGATGGAATTGGTCGATATGGCTCATTAATTGCGTCAATATCTCGATCATACCAGTCGTTGATTGTCTGAAAATAGACAAGTCTAGGTTATGTAGCACTAAGCAAATGCACTACAATAAGAACAACTCAGGCTTTTCGTTCTGTAAAACCAGACCTGTGTATAGCCAGTAAGACATGGGCCAGACATCATCATGCAAAGAATCGACTTAGCAACATCCTCAGGGGTCCAGTGGAAGTTCCCTGCCAGAAGAAACAATTTGAAGTAAGAATGTGTTTGACCAAACTACTTCTTAGTCAGGGGATTCCTCAGAAGACCATCAAGAAGATTGGTTAAGAAAATGAAAAAACTTTCTGAACAGTATTGCATAATCCAGAAAAGGTTCAGATGGTTACCTGAAGCAGCAGCACCACAGACGACTCCCCAAACCAATGGAGGCCAAGTGACTGGCTTTGTAAGCTGAAGACGAATCTTCCATTTATTCTGAACACACAACTCTTTTTAGCTAACAAACAACATTTTCCACATAATTTGTAAGCTAAAACGTTAATATATACAAATGTTATGTTAAGAGACTTATCAACTCAAAAGAGACTACCTTTACTAGAAAATTCCTAAACTATGTCAAATTACACATCATTATGCACAATTATGATAATTTTATTCTCAATTCCACCAATTTTAAAAAAGTCCGAGAAGATGAACAAAAATTACAGTTTCTTGAGATGCTCCTTTGATACCGAGAAGCTGGTTAATGCTTGAACCATCGGCTGGTGCCTTGTCAGGTGCCTGGGATTTAACTGCCGTCGATCCAACATTGTTAATTAAGATTGAAGATTGAAGAAAAGGTAACTAAAAATCATACCTTTATCAGTATCAGTCTCCGCCGCACGCACAACAAGTCTCCGCCCTATGAACACAACAAAATCAGTAAGAAAATTGAAGAGAGCATTCAGCAATCTATCTAACGGAATGTTAAAAAGTACCGGGTGATTCGAAGATCAACGTCGAGAAGCTAGAACGTCGGCGAGTGAACTCGACGGAATCCGGATTCCGGAGAGAGAGAACTCCGACTCGGTCGACGGAGGTAACTCTGGAGTAATGGATGGAGGAGACGGTGTTGAGAATCGAAGTCATAGAAACGACGGAGGAGAGAATCGTTTCTGGCCGGAAACTGTGAGTGAGCTCTTTGTTGGCAGTTGCTGTTTCGGGAAACGAGTGGTCGTATGTTCCCGGCGATAAGTGTCTACATAACAGTTTTGGCGGCCTTTGATTTAACTACTGCCACGTGGCAAGATCCTCTTGGCAATAATACTGGTTGTGTCGGATGATAATTTGTCCGGACAAAGGACCTTCATTGAAGCAAGAATGGGACCGGTTTAAATTTCAGGCCCAAAGAAAGCCCATTAATATACCGATGAGAGACACGTGGCAACAGTCAACTTTGAAGAAAAAATAATGGAACAATCATTGACAATTTTTTTATTTTTTCTCCTGATCCAGTTATTGATTGAACAAACTCCAACAACATTCATCATCATCCTTCAAATTTTGGAAAATTTATTTGAAAATCTCAGAATTTGCGTTAATGGAGATCGCTCCATCTTCAAGTAGATTCAAGCTCTACGATCAATTTGAGCTTCTAGAGTTTCCTGACAAGTACGTCGTCAAACCCGTCGAATCGCCTGAGGAAGGCTTCTCCGTCGATCGGCGCGATGGAAACATCAAACCTCTTGATGGTAATCGTTTTCCCACTCGTCATTCTCAGCTCTCTCCGTTTACTGTTTTGATTTCAAGACAAAACTTGGCAAGAGGAATCTGTGATTCAATTTCTCATTAGATTCACTGTTTCTTTGCTACTGCAGAAAACGCATCTTCTGGGAATCCTACTAAAGTATCTACTATATATGGCGTAGGAGGAACTATTAGGCTCTTGGCAGGTTGAAAAATACTTTTCAACATTTCTCTTTGTACTGTGTTGGGATCCAACAGTGATTTTTTATATGCTGGTTTCGACTTCATTCATATATAGGAACATACTTGCTCGTTATAACGTCTCGGGAGGAAGTTGGGAATTTTCTCGGTTTTCCGATTTTTAGAGTTACGGCTATGAAATTCCTACCTTGCAATGAGGCTTTGAGGTTTGCTACTGCTCAAGAAGTAAGGTTATTGTTTAAATTTCGATCTATATACGAATTTAGGGGGTTTATTTTATTTGGAGTTTATGAACAAGTTAAGTTGTCTAAAGAACTTGGAAATGGTGGCTTTGCAGAAAAAGGACGAAACATATTTTAGGACTCTGTTACAAGCACTTGAGACAACCCCTGGATTGTATTTTTCATATGAAACAGATCTAACATTGAAGTAAGTTTCACTATCTGATGATCTTGAGTAAAGAGTGTTACGTAGTTCCACGGCTTGAAGAATATTTATTAGATACATTCATTCAATGTTACAGCCTGCAAAGAAGGTGCAAGCTAGCTGAAGGTTGGAAGCGTAAGCCTATGTGGAAGCAGGTTGGTTATTCATCTGATTTTTATCTTTAAAAAAAGTATCTTCTTGGATCCCTGGGCAACTTCAATTTTTCTAGTACTACAATGTTGTCTGAATTTAGTTCATCGAGTTAAAGTTAGGCTGAAGGTTTACTTGTTTGTCAGGCTGACCCCCGATATGTTTGGAACTGGCATCTTTTGGAGGAGTTAATTGAATGCAAAGTAAGTTGTGTGATTTTAATTTAACTGATCTTTTCATTCCATGTCAAACGCTAATGATCTAACCTTCTCTTATTGTGGCAGCTGGATGGTTTTATTATTCCTCTACTTCAAGGAAATATCCTTTTCTTTATCTTCTTAATCTTCTGTTTCGCTTCTTCTTGGACTGTTTATATATGTAATGTTGTGTCTCTCAAATTTGCATTTAAATAGACCATACTCCAATACATGTTGTCTAATATTAACCAAGGCTTAAGCTACCAAGTTGCTGAGCTGAAGCTCAAGAATTCTCCTGCTGTGATATCGATAATTTCCAGGCGCTGTACACGACGTCTAGGTAGAGTTTAATTAGTGCGGCCAGAAAATTCAGTTACATCCATGTTTGTTTGACAGTTTTATTGGAATTGGCATCCCAGGTACACGTATGTGGAGAAGAGGAGCCAATCTTGAAGGGGACACTGCTAATTTTGTCGAATCTGAACAAATAATGGAGATTAATGGTTTCAAGTTCTCATTATTGCAGGTATATCATTGTTAGGATCTCATTCCTGTAAAATGATAGTTTCTTGTTACTGTACTGGTTTATTTGCAGTATCTTTGGAATGATATTCATTGTTGATATAAAATGCTGTGTGAGATTTCTTTCATAGCCCTGGAAAACTAATATCGTATGTAGCTCATTTCAGCTGAATGGTTACTGTTTCTTTTTTTTAAAAAAAATTTATATGCTTGAAATTCACTGTTTCATTATTCTGGTTCTTCATCTCTCAACTTATTTTATACCTTGTTTTTCTCTTTCTCTGTTTTTAAGGTTCCCTTTCATTTCTTGCTGATTGTAACTGTCTTGCTTTCACTGACTAGGTTCGAGGTTCAATCCCACTTCTTTGGGAGCAGATTGTTGATTTGAGCTATAAGCCACGGCTTAAGATAAATAAGCATGAAGAGACGGTAACTTTTTATGATTTTGTTACCAGATTAATTATATTATGTCCAGCCCTCAACCTTGATAAGCTAAATTTCTGCCTCCAGCCAAAAGTTGTACAGCGCCATTTCCATGATCTTTGCCAAAGATATGGAGAAATTATTGCAGTTGACCTAACAGATCAGGTTGATTTTTTTTCCTGAAAACAAAAGTAAATGGCACTAAACATATGTGCACTTTGAAATCTATGACATCTGAGCTCCAACTCTAATATGGTTTCTGCTATGCAATTTTCACTTACTTACTTTCATTATATGGTTAACTTTGTCTCTCACACGTGACTACATTAGCATGGAGATGAAGGTGAATTAAGCAAAGCATATGCCACCGAAATGGAGAAGCTTCCAGATGTGAGGTAAAGATCTGTATGCACATCGACGCATTTACCTTCTACCAGTCACGTCTTATCATTTCTGTATTTGGTTATCTTTCGGGATACCTCTTAGCGTATACACTATGAATTTTTGGTGTTTCGTGATACTTGACCATTTTGTCGTTTGTTTGTATATCTTTCACCTTCTACTGATTCAAAGTATTCCTCGATCATACACATCAAGTTAATGAGATTTTATGATGCAGATATGTCTCCTTTGACTTCCATCAAATCTGTGGAACTACAAATTTCGACAACCTGGGGGTACTGTATGAGCAGATTGGGGATGAATTTGAAAAGCAAGGGTAAGCAGACGAATTACGGTTTTGGTTCTACTAATTTCAGATTTAGACACTGAGTTGATATGGTTAGCAGTCAGATGTTTTTCGTTTGGTTCAAGTTAGCTAGCTGTGGTATGTAGAGAATTTTGTTTCAGCTGCGACTAATCCAAGCTGAGCAGATATTTCCTTGTAGACGCAGACGAGAACATCCTAGAAGAGCAGAAAGGCGTTATCAGATCTAACTGCATCGACTGTCTTGACCGCACAAATGTTACTCAGGTTTGTTGAATTATTTCTTACTCTTATTTCATTTTTCATTTCCAGTAGGCATCTTGATTGGTACGGTATGTTCTATACAACTCATGGGTGATCAGGTGGGGCATGTAAAGCACCGTTGGTAAATCCCCTTGTGTCATCTGAGCTTTTGGGATCTTGGTTGTGCATTTAAACTAATTTGTTTGCCGTAAAAATATTTGTTTACATATTTAACTTCATGCATTATCGTCTCTGGTTGCACATAACGGCTAAAAACGAGTTGCTGTAAAGCCATACAAGCTTGTTAGATGTTTGAAAACTTGTACTTTCCATTGAAATACTGCTGATTGCAATCAATAATCTTTTTGTTGCATCATATGAAAAGAGTTACATGGGCCAGAAAAGTGTGAATCTACAACTTCAAAGGATCGAAGTGTTTGATTCCACAGAGTGTATATCCACGTTTGAAGAAGATTACACAAAGTTCAGAACAAGTAAGTGGTTGTCACTATTTTCAAATCCCAGTGCAGTTTCCAGTTATATAGCTGTAGAATATCTTCTGTCTTACATCAAAAATTTAATCCTTTGGGTTCTCTAATAGTTTGGGCTGAGCAAGGGGACGAGGTTAGTTTGCAATATGCCGGGACCTATGCTCTTAAGGGCGACCTCGTAAGGTGAGTAATCTCTTTCTGTGATCCTTCGTAAGATCATATTGATTACAGTTGGCTTACAGTCTTGTGATAGTGATGCTGACTTTTTAATTTTACTGTTAAGCTGTTTCTTTTAAGGGACCATACATCAACATTGTTAGAATATTCCAAGCTGTTAACATCAATATACTTTCCATATTACTAGATTGATAACCTGTAATAACATTCTTGAGTTCTCTGTTTTCTTGGATGTAGTTTTCTCTGAATTGCTTTAGTCCTCCGCTTGAATCAATACACTAATTTAGAAAGACCATGTAAATAATAATATTTACATATTAGCAATATCTGCTATTGGGTATTTTGGTGCAGGTACGGGAAGCAGACTATGACTGGAGCTATCAAAGATGGCCTCAGTGCGATGTCGAGATATTATCTGAATAATTTCCAGGATGGTGTCAGGCAGGCAAGTTTCTGCTACAATTATAATTGAATCAGCAAATTAGAGATGAGGTAAAAAGATGAGAAACTGAAGGTAGAGAAAACATTTTTTTTTTTTTTTCTCAGGATGCTTTGGATCTCATAAGTGGTCGCTACACAGTGGGCACACACAGCCCTTCACAACTCCAGCCCATTGGATCACAACCGTCTGTATGTTCCTCCTAACCGTTTTACGATTTCGTTTACTTTTAGTGTATAATTGTCTTTCTTTCAAATGAACCCACAACCTTAAACGTCAAATGAAAGTGGAAAACTTCTTTCCGTTTGTGGTTGGCGTTTGCATTTGCACTGTACTGAAAAACTGAAAATGGTTCGCAAATGTAGATTGGAACGATGGAGACCATATAATCAAAACAATTCGTTCGATCAAAAGATGCTGATTGGATTTTGTTTGTTGGTTGAAAATAAAACAGTTTCTGCCGGTAGCATCAGCATTGTTGATAGGTGGTGTAACAGTGACATCTTTCACAATTCATCAAGGTAAAGGCTTTTAATTCATATGATTATACATTAGATGATTGAATTTTGATCGATTTTTTGTGTGTATGTGTGTGTTGGGTTATATAAACAGCGGGAAGAAACACGCAGCAGTATCTGGCGTCAGCATTGTGGGCTGGAGTGACTGCAGGAGTTGTGGCAATGATCAAAGCCAATGGAAGGCACTTGTGCTCAAGGCCTCGTCTTTGCCATCTCATTTGATTAATATTATCTGAGATTCTCTGTGTCTCACATTCTTCCCAAAACCCAAGCCCACTGTCCCTCTTTTCAACGTCCGCATAAAAAAAAATTCGAACTAAAAGTCCATAGTACTGAACTTCTTAATACAATGCAATTAGTAGTTCTATAAACCAAAATAATATAAAAATTCTACTAAAAACAAAATTTCTGTTATAAGTTGGTAAATTCTTGTGATTTAGAAAACCAACTGACCAAAAACCGAACACTGGTCATTGTAAACCAAGAAAAACAACTTACAGTAATTGACAATTTGACATCGACCAACAGTTATTTATTATTTCATTTTTGAATTAATAAAACGTTAACATATGGATTATGTATTGCAAGTAGCAACGAATATTATTCCCCCATTGGACCCTAAATTTTTTAAGGTCAGATTATTTGGCACATTTGTAGATGTAAACCCCACATTACAATATCAATACTAACCAGCAGCAACAACAAACACTGCACAACCTTTTAACTTAGAGACGGCTCCGTGTAGCCGGTTTGAAACTCGCAAGACCCGTTACTTCCCTCCCTGTTACTAAGGTGTTTATATCATAAGTCCCTTCGTATGTGTAAATAGGTTCAAGGTCACAGAATGCCTGCAAAATTTTCACATTTACCACTTAACTCTGATCTTTCTTCAATTATAGATAGCCAGCAACCAAGTCAAATATGAAGATTTGCTCACCTTTGCCACCAGAAAATCTGCTAGAATTCCATTCCCACCAAGTAATTCCCGACCTAGCGAAGCAGTTTCCCTCGCTTTAGATGTAATCCATGCCTAGTGGAAACACATATTTGGTCATGAAAACGATATTGTTTAATGTTTACTGAGTTATGATTGATTGTATACTACATTTATTTCACTTGCGGTTGTTCAATTTAGTAGAATAGATCATGAGCAAATGTATCTTGTCTCAGCTCACCAACATAGTATAATAAGTATGACCTTCCTACGTTTGGATAGAATAGTCCCTCATATGTTCACGACTATGCACGAATATCAGAAGACGTGACAGGCCTCTAAGCGCAACACAGATACATTCACAACTTTCCCTAATCTCTATACACAAATACTATATTCTTCCGTTGCTACACATTCTATTCAAGTAATCAAGTGATGCATCTCACAGAAAATATGACAAGTCTTCTAGCAAATGGTTCATAACTCATGAGCTCCAATCGTTGTTTAAATTATCCTACTTCTACTTATTTTGGCTAGCTTACTGACTATGTAATCAGACACCATGTTTCTCTATACCGAAAATCAGTTAAGAGAAACTTGTGTTTTATGAAAGTAAAAAAGGATTTCTTGTTATAGTACCTTTCCTAAACTGGCTTGACCTGGAGTCATCTGACCAGTCTCATATAGCTTGCAGAGGCGCCAACCCATTAGAAACATCGCTTGAACATTACCCAGCATCTGCACAAGCTTCTGTTGGTTTAACTGGAAAGCAGCCAACGGTGCTCCAAACTGTTTCCTCTCCTTCAGATACCTTGAAACAATACATATTAAATGGAAGACTGTAAGTAACGAAATGAAAGCTCATACTATGATTACAGAGATCTGGTGGTTTCCGGGAATCACCTGTGACACATATCGTAGATTCCCATTGATATGCCGATTGGCTGCCAGGCCACCATTACACGTGAGACAGCCAGGACCTATTCATGTATAGACAAACAGTTAACTATAACAAAGAAAATTGGAAGATGTGACGTTTTTCTGGTGATAAAGTATTAAAGAGCATTTTTGGGTTATGTGGAATTATCACAACAGTACCTTGCTGGTGTCCTGAAAAGAATTTACCCCAGGTAACCGATCCTCATCTGGAACAAAGACATTCTGTAGTAGAATATCTCCATTTTGAACCATACGTAAACCTATTTTATTTGGGATCTTAGTAGCCTTTAGGCCAGGCGCATCTTTCTTGACTATGAATCTGAAATAGGGTTGCTGATAAGTTTCTAATGCAGAAGTCTATATAAGATGAATGAGGAGCCATGTATTTGGAATAAACACATTAGTCTAGTATGCTCTTGATGACGGTCCATACAACATTTATTGTTCAGAACATTCAATTGTAGAGCAACCAAGTTAGCATTGTTTTTGAAAATGGATTTTAGCATCTACCATAAGCTAAAATCAAGAGCCACCTCATGACCTTCAGTTTTTTTGGGAAAAGACCCCTACACCTAAGATACAAAATTTGAGAGATCTAAGAAAGCCAATAATCTGACATACCCGTTGATTTGGTTAGTTGTTGTATTCCTAGCAAAGATGATCAACAGATCTGCAAAGGTGCTGTTTCCAATCCAACGCTTTTGTCCCTTAATTCTCCAACCTCCTTCAACCTTATACAGTAGACAATTAAAACAAGTCAAAACAATGAAACATTCCTGTAATTGCAGTAGTAGAGCAAGAAAGACACAAGCAACTGAATACTAGGAGAGAAGCCAGCCCCACCTTTGTGGCAGTCGTTCCTAGACCACTTGCATCGCTTCCATTGTCGGGCTCTGTCAAAGCCTTTATACAAGTCCAATATATGTAATGGTATCAACATCATGTTTATGTAACACAATAAATTATTCAAGGGATGCAAATCGTCTAAGTCCAAGATCCAAGTACTCACCCAACAAGCCACGGTATTCAATTGAGCCAAAGAAGGTAAATACTTCTCCTTCTGCGCTTCTGATCCACAAAGTGCTATTCTTGACAAAATCAAAAGTAATTAAGCTTATGCAAATCCTAGTATGGTCTTTATCATGACAACTACATATTAAACAAGGTAAGAAAGAAATATGAGGAGATCTTACCAATAGTGAGCATGCCCAAAGAAGAATGCACCAAAATAAAAGTCGAACAACTTGCATCAACTCTAGCTATTTCTGCAGTGGCAACTGCATTGGCGGTGATGGATAGGCCAGGACATCCATAACCCTAAGAATTCAAACCAAATCAATATTGAAGCTTCCATACACATAATTTAAACAAACAAAAGCCCAGAGACAAGCAATGCAAATTACCTTGATCGAGCCACCAGCAACACCCATAGCCCCAAGCTTTGGAGTGATATGGAATGGAAATTCTGCTTTCTCCCAGTACTGAGTAGTAAAAACCAAAGGAAGAACAATGATGTAACGCTACTATACAATACAAAAAAAAAAACATGTCGAATATAAAGATAGAGACCTCAGTCATTATCGGGGCAACTTCTTTCTCCATGCACTCCCTCACTTTCTTCCGGATGGCTTGTTCCTCCGGAGTCAACAAATCATTGAAATGATAATAGTCTGAAGCTGTAGCAGTATATCCACATATGAGACAAAAACACACAAAAAATCATCGAAATATAAATCCTGTGGAAGAAGAAATCCTTACTGCACGGTGGAAATGTAGAAGCTGGAGTTGCTTGAGGAAATGCTACAGACATTTCCATAGGCGGCAAATCAAAATATGAACTCTTCACCTTCTTCTCAGTACTAGCTGCAATACCAAAAATTCAATTCATAATCAAAATTCTCAACTCTCAATACCAAAATTCAATTCATAAATCATAATCTCCTTTCTAATTCCTTATATACTAAAAATTTCAATAAAACAGTCTGCGAAAATCCCCAGAAAATTCATCATCCGCGTCAAAACAAAATCTCATTGACCTAATCAACGATATCACCTCTTCGATTGAAATGATCGACACATAAATCATCCAAGACAACCAAAAAAAATATGAACGAGAACAGCTGCATCAAACGATGACGAAGACGAAGACGGAACAAGGAAACCGTGGAAAAAGAAAACAAACCTCGATCTGCAGACGAAAGCACCGTCATGGCTATGATCGTGATGGAGAAATATCTTTGGCTTCGTGATGAACGAATTGTCGAAGAAAGAAGATGAAATGAGATAGATACTAACCAGGATCCGACCCGGTTACGTCTATTTATATTTTTTCTAAAGATAAGAATTTAAAAAACCTTTTTCATTGGAGTTATCAACTTATCCTGATTTCTTTCTTTATTTTCTGCTGACAAGCAACGATAGTTTTCTTTTTATGAACAATAGCGACAGGTGATGAAATGTTAGGAATTTTAGCCGTAGAACCTGAAAACGATGTTTAAAAATCTCGACAAAATCGTGTCGTTGTTGAATTAAACGACAGAAAAATGAACATAAATCGTTGCTATCCGTTTGTCGTTGTCGCATGAATTATGGAAGCCTTTGATCATTCATTTGTAAGAGAATAAAAACATTATGACTGTATATGAAGTCGTCAACAGTTTTAATCCGCCAAATTTGTAATTTTAGCTATATATGCAAAATATGCTACGAAAAAATGTTAGTTCAAGGTGAGACTTGCAATCATTTGAAATATTCTAGCATACTTTTAGTTAAATTAAGAATTTTAGCTCGTACTGAAATACCCATCAATACAAATTCAACTTTATTGCCAAGCCAATGGGGGACACATAAAAAGAATAAAATTAGAAAATGTTATACGAGATGAGTATTGAGTGCATTGAAACCTTGTTTTTGTAGCATACTTGAGTTTTTACTTATAAATGGCCCATCATGCTATGCTTTCTCTTTTGCTTATACCATAGACTTCGCGACAATTGAGGAAAAGACAAGCCCAACACATTTTACTTTAACAATAACTAATCAACGTCTACTTCTTTTCTATATAGAAAAAACAAACAAACAAACAAATTTTGTTAAAGGGTTTTATAAAAACATATATATAATGTATGATTATGATTTTTATTTTATTTTTTCTATAATGCATTCATCTACCTTGTCCTAATGTCCCGATAAATCTTGCCTTTTAAGTTTTTTGACTACCAAATTCTTTTAGAAGTTGTAATGATTATCATTGACCAATTGTGTCTGTATTTTCCTATATTAACAAAGACAATATGATGTAAAAGCTTCAGAGTGGATAGTTTACAGAAGCGGTACCGGTCACTGGTGACCGGTCAAGCAAAGAATATCGATGGGTTCTTGAGGAATCACTAGTGTGTGTGATACTACTATAAAAGTGATGTTGGAGATACAATCCAAGTCCCACATCGGAAGTTTGATGGGACAATCAATAATATATAAAGGGTTAGGGCCAATCCACTAATTGCCAATTGGTTTTTAGTTGGAAGCCCAGAATTAGCCCAAATTTAACATGGTATCAGAGCCCAAGGTTCAAATTCTGGTGGACCTAGAAAAGTGGATACGGACATACCTCAAACCCGAGTAATGGGGGCCCGAGAAAGGGGCTTATTATCGGTCCGAGTGAGGGATCGAGGAGGTGTGTTAAGATCCATGTGGTCCTTGGATTGAAGGGGAGATTGTTGGAGATACAATCCAAGTCCCACATCGGAAGTTTGATGGGACAATCAATAATATATAAAGGGTTAGGGCCAATCCACTAATTGCCAATTGGTTTTTAGTTGGAAGCCCAGAATTAGCCCAAATTTAACAAGTGATGAGCCAAAAATATAGCCACACGTTGTCCAATGGAATCGTCACCGCGAAATGACACTAAGTTCAAGTGATCTTTTGGACGTCAAAAAAGGAAGATAACCGTTACATATTGATCTCCCATCTTATCTTTATTCATGGCAAGTCTCTGGTACTATACGTGTGAACGCATTTCAGATAAGTTAAGTAGATATGTTCCTGTATGTGTCATGTGTGAATGCATCTCCACATCTTGAGATTTGGTTGGTTAACATTGGGTCAAATGTGAACGCAACTTTGGTGCTTCGGATGTATGTAGTAAATGGACGTTTGTTACATTTCCAAACATTTTTGTGAACCACGCTCCACCAAATATATAAGATATGTGGTGGACATTTGCAACTTGATGGGTTGGTCGGTTTCCAAATATGGAAAGTAGACATTGGTTTGCTCTCAAAACTCAAAAGCAACCATTGCGGGTTTACAAATTAATGAAGTACTCACTAATCTTCCTCAATCTTATATAGATGGAAATGTATTTAAACCACCATAATGTGTAGACGACTCTAGTAGAAAATATGATACTATCTTTGCTATGTTGAGATTGGAAGATACATATTACATCATAGAGTTTTATGGATATCCAGAAAGTAAGTAGTGTATGATTCAATTCCATTTAGGTATATAAATGTACCACTCTAATGCAAGTCCTTTATAACCAAAAAAAAAGAGGACTTTCTCAAAGGCCAAACAAATGATTGTTGACATTGACCACACGATCGTTTTGAAACATCTCAAAATTTTCAATCTCCTCCTAGTCCTAGGCTCCTACCACTTACGTTCGCATGTTACATACCTTTTTTTGAATTGGCCAGCTCATTTTTGATGAAATGAATACTGGATTTACTATTGGGGAAAAAAATTTGCATCTATTTTTTAGATTTTTTTTTTAAAAAAATAGAAATGTTCGTTTTAGTATTTTCTGTCTATGAAAATATCAAAAAACAATTAACAAAATATATACACATATATATAACTAGTATAACCAGATAAAAATATCTTTACTTGCTTTTTTAGAGTCTAAAAATGGCATATTAGAACAAAAAAAACATATGGCATTTCAAAATCTTGAATGGTAACATTTTCGAGATTTTCTTCTATCATTTGTTCATTTTCTTATAACAATATTATTTGTTTTATTTTTGTTTATTGTCTTTTATTTTCTATATTTTTTATTCATAGTTGTCGTTATTCTTTTTTATTAACTTCGAGATGTATATTAGATGATTACACATATTGAATGCACATAATATTTCAGAATCAAACGTAAAATATTATTTTGACCGGAGCATGTATCTCTTTAATCGAAAATAAAAATTTCGAGTTCATGTGATATTTGCTAACGATTTTTCGAATGATCTGTCATATCAAGATTTCATAATTTTTCAAAATGTAATACTGTTGTCAATCAAAACTACTAAAAAAAATTGTTTAGTCAAACATATATACAACCCTCAATAAATTAATTTCTTAGAATCTAAAGGAATTTATATGTTAAAAATAAAATCCAATAAAGTGTAAATTTACCAAACAAGCAAAGACCGTTTTTCAAAAAGAAAAAGAAAGCAAGGAGACCAAATTATGATTGAGTTTTTTACAAATACAAAAAAAAATATAATATCACTTGAAAAAAAGAAAATAAATAAATATCAAAAACTCAAAAAGAGTCCTCTCTCTCTCTTTCTATAGCTCCTCTCATCTTCACCGTACGCTTGCTTCTTCGATCTACGCTTCTCTCTATCTCTCTCTCTAGCTATAGCTTCCATTGTTACGATTCCTCCCAAAGCGTAGAATGTGGAACCCTAGATACCTCAAATTCAGCTAGAGATCTATCTACTTTTACCTCTATTACTTTCTACTTTTGAAGCTCTGAGAAGAGCTACACAGTGATGGGGAACTGTTGCAGATCTCCCGCAGCTGTAGCTAGAGAAGACGTGAAATCCAACTATTCCGGCCACGATCACGCCCGCAAAGACGCCGGCGGCGGTAAAAAATCGGCGCCGATTCGAGTTCTCAGCGATGTTCCCAAGGAAAACATCGAGGACCGTTACTTACTCGACAGAGAACTCGGCCGCGGCGAGTTTGGTGTCACTTACCTCTGTATCGAGAGGTCTTCGCGTGACCTACTCGCTTGCAAGTCGATCTCGAAGAGGAAGCTTAGGACTGCTGTGGATATTGAGGATGTTAAGAGAGAAGTGGCGATTATGAAGCATTTGCCTAAGAGTTCGAGTATTGTTACTTTGAAGGAAGCTTGTGAGGATGATAATGCTGTGCATTTGGTTATGGAGCTTTGTGAAGGTGGTGAGCTTTTCGATCGGATTGTTGCGAGAGGGCATTATACGGAGCGTGCTGCTGCTGGGGTTACTAAGACGATTGTTGAGGTTGTGCAACTTTGTCATAAGCATGGTGTGATTCATAGAGATTTGAAGCCGGAGAATTTTTTGTTCGCTAACAAGAAGGAGAACTCGCCGTTGAAAGCTATTGATTTTGGATTGTCGATTTTCTTCAAGCCAGGTGTGTCACTGCGTTGATTTGAAAGTAGATTAGTGTCAGAGTCTCAGCATATGAGGGATTCACATTCTTTAAGTCTCTAGCTTTTGGATGTTTCCACCGACGACCTTGAACACTGATTATTAGTGTTATTAGTTTATTACTGTGGAATACTGGGTCATAGAGGGAGGTTCTTGTTTCTGTAGGATTTACGTTTCTTGATTGATACCTTAGATGTATCTTGACCAGTTTATTTGGTGTTGATGCTATTTTTGTAATGCTTACACATTTCCAGGTGAGAAATTCTCAGAGATTGTTGGGAGTCCATATTACATGGCACCTGAGGTGCTTAAGCGGAACTATGGACCCGAAATAGATATTTGGAGTGCTGGAGTGATTCTTTATATTCTCTTGTGTGGAGTTCCCCCATTCTGGGCAGGTCTGTTTACCCTTTCTTCTCTTCTTTATACTCTGGATGTCATCTGCCTGAGCATTTTCTTATTGATTCTTATCATACATATCTATGTCATTTCTCAGAAAGTAACTTTTGCTTATTGATTCTTATAATATCTCTTCTAGCATGCTAGTCTTCTGTAGTTTCAGCCAGTTTTTTTCTTTCAACCACAGAGTCAGAACAGGGAGTTGCTCAGGCTATTCTGCGCGGGGTAATTGATTTTAAGAGGGAACCGTGGCCAAACATTTCTGAGACCGCTAAGAATCTAGTCAGACAAATGTTAGAGCCTGATCCGAAGCGTCGGCTGACTGCAAAACAAGTGCTTGGTACACAGAATCTACCTTTGCCTTCTGCTGTTTCTCTCTGCATCTGTTATTATCTATTTGCCCAATCACTTCATTGATCTGGAATTTTATGCTTATTCCTGCTTTTGTTATCGTTTCTCATTTGTTAGAGCACCCAT